ACAGATGATGCCTGTATATGAATTGTCACATGTTAAAATATGTAAGCTTTTTATAGAGCCTCAGTCTTGCTGATTTCAAACAAATTTTTCTTCTATGTATCGCTTTTAAGAGAGCTATCAGTTTAGCTATCAGACTCTAGGTTGATGCATTTTTGTACTTAGCTGTACTGTGTGATATTTTTCATTATTTTAGGAAGCCAACATGGGAAAAAAAAAAAATACTGTTATAAAATATGTAATGGGGTTTGAAAGCTGGGAAGGAGAATATACTGCTGTACAGCTAATAAATAATAATGGATTAACATGCGTGCTCAGCGGCTGCTTTCTTCGTGTATATTTGTGGTGTGACCAGGTGGCAGTTACAAGTAGGAAAGCAGGAGTAGTTGTTGCTTTTCGTTCGTTTGGGCGGCGAGTTTAAGTGGTTGTAGCTGATGGGTTAGCTGGCGGGAATATTACTGCCACTGCAGTTCTGGAAAAGGCGACCCCCACTTAGGTGGGGTTTCAGGGGTGGATCTTTTCTTAGTTTCCTGTGAAAGCAGCCTAGAGAGCCAGCTGAGAGTTAACTCGCAGGCGTAGCTGTGTGAGTTCAGCACGGTCCCTCTGGTGCTGCCGAGCAGGAGTCGCTGCGGCGGCACAATACCGTTATTTAAAAGGAAATTGTAAAAAAGCGTAAGAGTTGCTATTTTCCCTAGGTGTTGGGTGCCTGCTTACCTCCGGTCCTCCTCAAACTTGCCAAGAAAAGCAGTCTGGAGGTTGATGCCTGGAATCCTGAGCAGGGCGGAGGCTTTTTCAGCAGGTGGGAGAGGTGAACGTGAGGAGGGCTGCTTCTGCGAGAAGCGGATAAATCCTCGAGTGCTTTGGGTCGGACAAGGCCCTTGTGTGCTCCCAAGCCCAGCGATGTTTCAGACGCGGGCAGTGCTCTGAAGGAGATGGGATTCTGCACTAATCCTGGAGCTGGGGAGGCTTTGTGGCGAGCTGGAAAACTGGTGGGAGCTCTAACAAGGTGTCCTCCGGAGCTGTGAGGAGTACCGCCATCATCTCTTAAACCCTGTGGCTCAACCCACTTGCTGACCAGCGGGGTGTGAAAGATGTTGCAGGGGCTTTGGGTTTAACTGGTGACCCGTGGCCGTGCCCCAGAGGAGGTGTCACGGGTGCCCTGGCCTCCCTCCACCCGCCTGAGCCCGGGTCTGAGTGACCCCACGGCCCGTGTTGGGAGCTCTCCTGGCGTTCGGGGGAGCTGGAGGAGATGGCTGCAGGTGAACAGCTCGGTGGCGGGCTGAAAGGGAGAGGGTCGGGTGTGTTTGTCCAAAAAGGCTACAGGTCTGTGATCTGCTGGTGGTGCGTGGTGTTCCTTGGCAGCTCCTGCCCTGCGCAGCCCGCTGCTGCAGCAGGCCTGGGGAGATGGGGCCGGTCACCAAAGGGGGACGGCTGGTGGCTTCTGTTGTGGTTATCTGAGGAAATGATTTCTAAGCAGCGCTTTGTTGTGGACTGCTTTCTGAACTTTTCTCCAGAGACCCAAGCGAGGGTTTAGCGAGGGTGGGAGCGCTCGCCCTGCGGCCATCCTCCTTTTTTCCCTCGGCCTGGTGTGTTACTTCGCAGTCCGCTTAGCTGACCTGGTTTCTTCATGCTTGCTCAGTCAATAGCCCTGTTATGCAGCCTGGTTTTTATTTGATCTGATCCGAGGCTCCTGCCTTGGGCTGCCTCTCGTGCCAGGCTTCTGGTTCGCCCTTGGTGGAGCTGCTCTGGAGAGATGCGAGAGCAACGTCCCAGCCTGCTCCTGAGGATGCGCAGCCGGGGCAGCACCTCAAGCCTGACTGCGGACAGAACATCTCTGCTCAACCCCAGCGCTGTTGTAGGTGCTGGGAAAGCTGTGCCCCGTGTCCTGGAGCGTGAGGGAAAGGCCAGGGTCAGTATGGATCCGAGGAGCATCACTCCCTTGGCCGGTTGCTTGGCCCGGCTCCCGTCTCTGGTGCTTGGGCTGCTGTCCTGAGGGCATGCTGGAGGACAGCGTCGGGCTGGAGAGGGGCTGAGACCAGCTCTACGTGACTCTTGTAGCCTGCCGAAGGCTCATTTGGCTGCCAGGGGTTGAGAGCTCCCCCGGCTTAGCGGGGATTAACTCTGCCGTTACTATGTGGGGGGCCAAGCTCGCTTCTTTAGCCCAGGATGTCGGACCGAGGTTTTGTTGGTGCAAACCCTGGCGCGCTTTCTTCTGCCTCATGGGAGGAAAAACTAATGACCCCTTCTGCTCTTTGTCTTCACGTCATCGTAGCAGATGATTCTCCGGGTGAGAAGACAAATGTAGATCGGGGGCCGGCCCAGGGAGGCAGCTCTTGGCAGAGGTGGAGGAGGCAGGGACACCCTTGGTAGAGCAGTTAGTGCCTCCCGAGCTGCAAGGCTTCTGGAAGGTGGGCTGGTGGACTAAACTCTGCCCTAAACTGCGTTGGTGTGAGCAGGGCAAGAGCTGTGGTGGATTTGCTGGTCTGAGCGTGTGTTTAAGAGCAGACTGAAGACGGGCCAGAGCTATTCAAAATCCAAGGAGGTCAGCAGGACATCAGGCAGGCGTGGTAGGCAGCCAACCTGGGGAAGTGGGAAGGGAAATAAGAAGCACGCAGACAGCAGAAGAGGGGACAGGCTGCCCCGGAGGAGCAGACATTGCTTGAGTGTGCAGGGATGGAGTTGGGAGAGCCAAAACTGGAGATGGACTCAGAGAAGCATATGAAGGACAAAAAGATCAGCTGCCGTATTAAGAAGGGCTTCAGCAGTAGCAAGAAGGCTTTGGAAAAATGCAGGCCTGCTCCTTAATGGAGCAGAAAACCTGGTGGCAAAGGACGTGGAAAAGGCCAAGGTAGTCGGGGCTGCTCTGACCCTGATTTTGGCAGGTGAGGTCTGTCTTCAGACCTCCCAGGGCCCAAGCCTGGTGGCAGAGTCAGGGAGGAACGTCTGAAGGTGCAGAGGAAGCCAGCCAATGTCATCGCGCTCTCATCTTTGAAAAGTTGTGGTGACCTGGGGCGGTTCATGACACCCGGAGAAGGGCAAATGTCCCACCCGTCTTCAAGAAGAGGAAAAAGGAAGATCTGGGGAGCTACCTCGCTGCATTCTCCAAGGAGGTGGCTGGCTATGTGGACAAGGCAGGAGCAGCGAATGTTCATCTGGACTTTAGCATGGCTTTCGCCAGTCTCCTGTAGTGTCCTTATGGCAGAATTGAAGATGGGGGGGGGGGGGGGGCTGGAGAAAAGGATTTTTGGGTGCGTGGAAAATTGGCTGGACCACCAGGGTCAGCATGATCAGCAGTATGATGTCTAACTGATACTGGTCGTTCGTGTTCCTCAGGGATCGCTTGTAGGGCCAACTGGTCCCGCCTCAGTGCAAGAAACAGATGGGAGACCGGCATGAGCCTGGCAGAGTCCCCCAGGATGGTTACCACTGGAGCTCAAGATGGATGAGAAGAGGCCATGAGAGAGTGGTGTGACCACCCTGGAGGAGAGAAAGCTTGGGGGGGGGGGGGACCCTGCTGCTGTCCACAAATAGCTGCTGGGAGAGTGTGGAGAAGATTGAGCCAAACCATTTTAAAAGGTGTGCCAGCAAAAGCGCAAGAGGCAATGGGGACAAACTGGAGCAGAAGAAACTCCAGCTCAAATTATGGAAACCTTTTCTCACAGTAAGTGTGGAAAAGGTGCCCGGAGAGTCTGTGGGGTCTCCATCCTTGGAGATGTTCAGATCTCGGCTGGGCATGGCCTTGAGCAGCCTAACCGGCCCAGTCTAGAGCAAAGGGTTGGGACCCAGTGGTGACCAGCAGCCACCGCCACCCAAGGAGTCAGCAGTGGTCGAGAGCCGTGGGAGAAACTGTCACTGTGAGAGGACCTGGGACACGGTCACTGGTGTGGGGCACCTGGGTGCCCATGTCAGGGCGACGCCGGAGCGTCGGGGCTGGGGGGAAGCCGTGGGCAGAGGAAAGGACAAAGCAAAGCAGTGTTCTGGAGCCAGGGGTAAAGAACTACCGTTACCCCCAGAGCGCGGTAGGTGCTTCAACTCCCCAAGCGTGATCTAGGGATGGAGAGGAGCACCAAGACCTCTTTCTGGGAAGGTCCTGGTACTCTAGGATCGAGCTGAAAGTGCCCAGCTCGTGCCCTCTGTGGGAAGAGACAGAGGGAGGTGTGTTGCTCTGGACATCCTGACACACCTGGGCTTGCACAACCAGCAAGGAAGGCTTGGGCACACGGATGTCTTCCTCTGCCTTGCTCCTCTGGGGTAGGTGTTCCGCTGCACTGATGCTCAGCATGTTCTGGGACTTAATATTCTGGGGGATGAGCTTGGGATGCAGCCTGCTCCTGAGCTCCTTTGTGCTTCTAAACTTCAACAGAAGCCATCTTCTGGTGGGTGCAATGAGACAGCGGCTATCTCCGTATCCCGAATACCCTTGCATGACGAAGCGGGGACCTGGTGGCCTTTGGGAAGTTCAGATACCAGTAGCCTGGTCTCCTCTCACCCCGGAAAAGCCGTAGATCCAGCCAGGACTTGTTGGCAGATGCTGTCTCTGTTGGGTGGAGAACCCTGTGTCCTTCCTCTTCCTGGTGCTTGCCTGCCCACTGGTGTAGCTCGGGAGGATCGAGGAGGCGCCTCGGCAGATGTCAGTCCTTGCCCTGAGCCGTGTTCTCCCCAGCCACCTCCTTGAGAAGAGCTGCTGTGTGTTGTGGTTGGGCTCTATGGAGACGCCGGCCCTGCAGGGAGATGGTTTCCTGCCTTTGCTTTCACGCCGGAGCTGGTTTCAGAAGCGCTGTGGCCCCAGGTGCGCGCGGCAGGAGAGCAACGTCGTCCAGCCCTTCCAGCGAGCACCTTCTCCTGAGTTATTCCACCTCTGGGAAGACTCCTCTGGGAGCCCTCGCTTGGCAGATGGCAGCTCAGGCAGCCTGGAGCTTGGTGGCTTGTCAAAAAGGAGCAATTTGGGGGGACAAGGCAGCTGGCACCCTCCATCCCAGCTGATGCTCGTCATGGGGACCCAGGCTCTGCTGGCTCCCTCAGCACCTTCTCCCGTGTCTCTGGCCAGGCCAGCTGAGCCAACATTGAGAAATTTTGGGTCCAGTGAAATCCTTGAAGCACTGCTTGAGGCACAGGACAGCTTTCCGCTCTGTCCTGGATCCCTTCTGGCCCTCTGCCTGGTCCAGAGCCTTCCCTGGGGAGCAGAGTGGTTGATGTGCTCCTGTTTCTCCAAGGAGGCCGCCTAGCCTCTGCCTCTCCTCCTCGCTTCGGGGCAGTGGTTTTGTCATTTTGGCATGACACCTGGGGCATTTCTGCTCTGGAGAAGCCCTGCCTGCAGCACCCATCCCCACTAGCTCTCCTTGCAGATGCCCGGTGCAAGGTGACCTCCCGGCGCTGGGAGAAGGGTAGAGCTGCCCTTTTCGCGCTTACCGGCCGTCTTCAAGCAGAAATATGTCCCCATGAACCGCCCTGGGAGGCTGTAGGGCAGGGCAGGGTCATGGACCCTCAACCCTTGAAGTCTGGAGCCGCGGGGAGATGCTGCTGCTGCTGCTGCTGGCTGGGAGGCACCGCTGGGGTGTCCTGCTCCCCTGGGTGAAGCCAGGGGGGGAGGAGAAGGGCTGGCCAGGGGTGTCCTCTCCTCCCCGGTGGGCCGTGGGCGCCATCGCTTTCATTTCGCTTCTCTTGCTCAGGCGGTAAATCTCGCCTGACGGGCAGGAAGAGGCGCTGAGCGTCAGGAGGGGGGGGGGGAGGAGGTGCTGAGGCGGCAGCGCTGCTCGGTGCTTCCTCCCAGCAGGGTCCCTTTCCCGCGGCACCCAGGGATGCTGCCCTGACACCCACGTCCCTGGGTGGGCGACCCAACCATGGCTGTGTCCCCCGGAGGGATCCCCGCTGAGCTGCAAGGTAAGCATCGCCCGCTGCCGGGGCACCGATGCCCCGTGGAAAGCGCCGGTATGGGGCCTCCTCGGCCCCAGTTTGCCACGCTGGGGTTGGCAGAGCCACTTTTGGGTTCCCCAGCGGCAGCACCTGCGGTTCAGGGGGGTCCGAGCAGGGTCTGGGGCAAGAGGGCTGCTCTTACCCCCAAAGCTCGCATGCTTGAGGACGCTGCTGGGGCCAAGAGCATCCCTGGAGAACGGGCTGGATCCTCAAGGACGTGATTCTCCATGGCTCCTGCTGCCCGGTTTGTGGGTGCAGCCTGGTGCTGCTCACTCCCATGGGCTTGGGGTCCCCTGGCCATCTCGGGGTCCCTGACAACTCCCCAGGGAGGCACGGCCCGCAGCCCTGCCCCAGCTCCCCAGCAGCGCGGGGGTTGCGTTGAAGTACCACTGCTCCCAGCCTTCTCTGATTGAAAAAGCAAAAGGCCGGGGTGCTCCCGGGGGTCCTGCAGCCTCATCAGCCCCACCGAGGCTTGCGGCAGGGTGGGAAGGGGCTGGGTCGCTGTGTCCCCCCCCCAGCCCCACGTCCCGGCTCTACCAGGATGGGTCCCTGGGGACGTGCAGCTCTATCCACTGCGTCCACGGGGCTCGGCGTCGTGAAAACCTGGTTTGCTTGGCATGGTGGCGGGGGGTTGTGGTTCTGGTCCTGTTCCTCCGAGCGAGAGGTGGGACTCAGGGGAGGCGGGGAGGCGATGCTGGAGGCAGGAGCACTGTTCCACAATGACTGTGGGGAGCGACTGGTTTGCGAAGGCGGGGAGGTTGGCACGCACGACCACTCGGCGGGGAGAGGTCCCAAAAATATGCAAAAGCAGACCACATCCCCGGCTGCACCGTGGGGAGACAGGGCTTGGCCACCGCATTCCTCTCCAGTGGTTAATTCGGGAAGGAAGGAAGAGAAGTCAGGGCTCTCTTGTCGTTCAGTGCTGGCTCCCTGTGAGCGAGGCAGCATGTGCAGCGTAAGCCAGAGCCCCCAAACCCATGTGCTTGGTCCAGGCTGCAGAAGCCGATGGGGAGGTGGGTTTATCTCCCAAGCAGCAAACAAGACCCAAAGTCGGTGAAAAAGTACGTGTGGAGGGAGAGGAGTTGATTCAGGAGGGGACTCAGGGGACAGTATCCCCAAGGGCAGCAGGACACGCGGGGGAGGACCAGGGGGTGGCTTCAGCCACCTCACTTTGTGGGGACATCGGTCTTTTCAGAGGGCATCACCACCTTTCTGGGGACAAAGAAGGTCCTCCTGGTGACGAGCATCCAGCTGCAGGTGAAATCCAAGTACGACGACTATATCTTGGTAGGTGCAGAGTCTGGCCTGGTTCTGGCTTTCCCAGTTTTCCCAGGCAGCTGTTTTACGGCTGCGGCGGAGGACAGGGGTGGCTTCCATGTCACCAACAGCTCCTTGTGACACCGATGTCCCCCTGCCTAGGTGCTGACGCCCTGGCGAGCCTACGTGCTGCCGGTGATGCTGCCGGTGAGGGTAAGTGCCGGGGACCCTGCGCTGTGGTAGAGCCCCGCAGCTCCTGGGAGGGCATCGCTCAACTTCTTGGGGCACCAAGTCTGGGAAGCCGCCAGGAGCAGGAGGAGGTGAAGGGGAGGGGGTTTGGGTCGGGGGGGGCATGGCCAGGCGCTGCCCAGGGCGGGGGGAAGGCTGGGAGCAGCGGGGGGGCACCCGTGGGTCCCCCTTCTCCATCAGCGCTGGGGCTGATCCTGCTCCTCTCACCCACAGGTTCACAGCAGCTTCAGCTTCCTGGAGGTGAGGGAGATGACGGTACGAGAGCCCAGCTTGGTAAGTGGCACCAAAACCCAAGGGCAAACCCAGCCTGGGCACCCACCCCACCTTGTGCTCGCCTCCCCCCCACGGCAACCCCTGTCCTGGAGCCCACCGTGGGGTCTGGGGGTGTCCTGGCCCCACTTTTCCATGTGGATGCTCACCGGTGACGATCTGTGAGGGCACCACAGGGTATTTATCCCTTCGCCACCTCTAAAGAAATCCTCTTATGGCCTCGCCCAGGGTATCACCCTCGGGGCTGGAGGTGTAGGGGGGGCACCCAGGGGTGCTGGGGGCGAGCGTGGGTGCCTGTGCCTCTTCCCCTCTGGCAGCCGCAGACAGTGCCCGGCCGTGGCACCTCCCGCTCGGCAGGGACAAGGTGACAAACGGCTGCTGGCTTACCGAGGCGAAGCCAAATTTAGCAGGAGGGTGTTTTAAACCCCGGTTAATCCTCTTAGAGAGAGGCGGGCGCCTAGGGCAGATGGGGTGGGTGAGGACCAGGGAGGAGAAGAACGGGATGCCCCGGTGTGGATGTGTCGGACAAAACGGGGGGGGGCTGCGGTCCTCATTAACCTCTCGCCTGGCTTTTGCTCGTTAAAGCATCATCAGCGACAACGGCCCCAGCCTCCGAGCAGGGTTTCTGCTGCTCAGCAGGCTGTATGGCTGGGCGCCGGGGGGGGGGGTGGGGGGGAAATAAAGAGGAGCTGGGCAGAGAGCGAGGGGTTCTGGGGGTTGAAACCCCAGGGTTGAGGGGGGGTGAGGCATCTGCCTGGGATGGGGAAAGCCCAGGGGTTGGTTATTAACCTGTCCCACCCCCCCCCCCACGCTGCCTCCCGCAGCCCCGGGCGCCGGCAGAAGCACTGTCCTCAGCACAACACCAGCAGATAATTGTCATCTCGCTCCCACGCCTCAATCAGCATGTAATTAAATCAAGGAGCGTGTTGCCATGGGATTTTTTTTTTTTTTTTTTTTTTTCTGGTAGGAACCAAAAAACCTAAAAAAGCCTCCAAACCCAATTAGTTAAAATCAGGGAGGAAACCTCCATCCTCCAGCTGCGGCTGCTGCAGGCAGGCAAGGCTATTCTCACCCCCGCTGCTTTGGGCTGCTTTTGCATCAGCTTAGCTTGAATTCTGGGGAGGTTTATGCTCTGTTCTAGCACGTTACGATCTCTTTAATGTATTTGATCCTAAATTCCCGGTGCTCGCAGCCTTCCCGGTGCTCACAGTGCTCTGGCTGGGTTTATAAGCAGCAGCTGGGAGTTTGCAGCGAGGAGCTGACGGCTGTCACCATTGTCTCTGGGGGCTTGGGGACACTGTGTGCTGCCAGCTCGCTCGGGCATCTCCCGTCCTTTGGACCCCGCAGGTTGTCATAGAAACAGTTGCAGCATCTTACGCCTTCCGGTTCATGTCCTTCGATGATTTGGAGCAAGTTGTCATTCACGTCACCATGTCACTCAAGAAGGTCTTTCCAGACTCATCCCCTGGGTAAGGTTCTTCCGCTCCTCAGGGGTAGTTGTGTAGGTACCAGAGCAACCTATTTGCTCAAAAAAGCCCCAAATATGAGATAGGTTCACAGTAGAGCCTTTTAACGGGAGAAAACACACTAATGGAGGCCAGACCCTGCTCCCCAATCGCATTGGGAAGAATATTTCTGGCCACCCTACACACAAGAGTTGTGGCTAAGCATAAAGTGGTGGGGGATGCTCTTCTCCCAGCCCACCGCCACGCACCCCTCTGATCCTTCCCCAGGATGCTGCTCAAGAACTCCCCCCCCAACCTGTACGAGAGGATCCGGTGGATCACCGACTCGCTGGAGGAGATGCTGCAGAGCAGCCCCGGGCCCTGTGGTAAGCCCTTTCCCCCCGCCCAACGCCTCCCCCCCCAGGCAGGACCTGGAGGGTTGGAGCACCCCGGGGACCATCACAGCCCGATGTTCATCAACTCTGGCTCTGCTGACAGCCCCCGCCGCTGCAGGCAGGGACACCCGTGGTGACTCAGGTCAGGAGGAGCCCTGGGATCTACGTGGACCAAGCAGAGCCAGCCGCAACACCCCCACCCCCCCACCCCCCCCGAGTTTTGCGATCACTTTTGGGCTGGCAAAAGACCACTCAGGACACTCTGGCCCCTTTGAGGAGGGAAGGGAGAGCCCTCACCATCCCTTTTGAGCCCCTGCCATCCCTCTCCTGCTTCCAGCCCTCCTCAAAAGTCTCCTCCGTGTTCCCGTGGGGGAAGGTCTGCCACCAAGACTGCCTTCTCTTCGCAGGGGGGTTTTCGGAGACCTACGCTGCTTTGTGCGATTACAACGGCTTTGCCTTCCGCGAGGAGATCCAGTGGGTAAGAGGCAATGACAGCGTGCTACCTTGGCGGGCAGGGAAGCAGAATGCTCCCAGGGCTGCTGGGGCTGGGAGCATCCCAGGGACCAGGGACTTTCCAGAGCCGGGAGCTGCAGTTTCACCTGGCTTGAGCGGGGACCCCCTGATTCTTGGTGGGGTGGAATTGAAGCGCAGGTGGGGATGAGATGCCTTGGACCAGGTTGTCTCCCAGACTGGAACGTAAGGCTCCTAGGAATCTGGGACCTTGCTGAGTGTCCCTAGAAGAGGAGAACCCTGCTGGGACTCAGCCATGCTCAGGACAGGCTGTCCCTCTCTTCCTCTGGGACACCGACTCCAGCCCACCTCTCCCCCCACCCCCGTTCCCACCAGCCTGGGGGTGTGTTGCCTTCTTTTGGCCAATCCCTACAGAAGTGGTCTGAGACCCACCGAGCCCCCCCACCAATGTGGGACACGTGGCCTGGCAGCCACAGTGCCGGGGGAGGTTTTAGCCTTGGGGTTTAGGCAAGGATCTCCCCGGGGGGAGGGTCCCCAAGGGCTCGGCTCCCTCCGTCAGCGCCGGGCATCGGAGCCCTCCCCAGGACGAGGTGCTGAGCCTGATCTGTGTGTCCATCCCTCTGGGCAGGACGTGGACAACATCTACCACAGCCAGGACTGCCGGGAGTTCAACCTGCAGGACTTCAGCCACCTGGAGAGCCGGTGAGTCCCCCCAGCCACGCCGTCTGCGGTGCCCCGTGCCACGCCAGCACTCACCCTCACCCTCCCCTGCCACGTCAGGGGTGACCCAACACACTCCTCCGCTCATGTTAGAAGCTTTTATCGCTTTACACGCTTCAGGGATGCCACATCTGCAGGGTGACGCTCGCCCACACCAAAAACGATGAGCCCCGTCCCATGGGACGAGGGCCCCGAGGGGCTGGGCAGCCTCCCCTGTGCCTTCTCCACACTTAAATAAGCCTGCGAGCAGCTTACAGAGGTGAAAACCCAACGTCACGGTGGCTTCTCGCAGCTCGTGGCTGTCAGGTGTTTCTCTATGCAAAGCACCCGGTGCCGCTCGCCTCCCCGAAACTTGGCGCTGCCCCCTTGCCAGCACCCCAAATATCTGTTATAACCTTTTAGTGGGGCCGTCAGCTCAGGCTGTGCCCGGAGTTGTCCCCGTGGGGCTCAGCTGTATCTCGACCCTGAGAAAGATGGAGCAAGGGCTCGACTCTGGGGGAAAGCAGATGTTGAGCGTGGGGAGTAGTGAGTCAAAATTCTGGGCTGAGCATTTTGGGGAACAGAGAGGATCTGTGTTCAGCTGGCCAAAAAGGAGATGGTTTTAGAGATTTCTTTGGGCTGGGAAGTCAAAAAAAAAACTTGTTTCCACTCAAGCAAAACCCATGTCGTTCTTTACACGAGAGCTCAGAATTAAAAAGAAAAAAAAAAAAAAAAAAAAAAAGCAGACGCTTTGACAGAAGCATGCAAATGTTCTGATGTATTTTATTTTCCATGAGGGAATAATCTGGGGAAGCTGAGCTGTGTTTGTGGGTTGCCATAGACTCATGGACCCCAGTCCTGCTCTGCATAACACTGTGTTGGGGCACCCTGGGGTTCAGTGTTTCGGGACATCCCAGGGTTGGGTGTGCTGGGGCACCCGTTTGGGACCAGGCTTGGCTCAGCCTGGCCCCTGAGCCCCGTGTCCTCCTCACCCGGCAGAGACGTGGCGCTGAGTGTTGCCGCCTTGTCCTTCAACCTGTGGTTCACCAAGCTCTCCTGCAAGGACTTCAGGCTGGTGAGTGCTGGTGCTGTGGCACCAGGTGCGCCGGCGGTGGCCGGGTTTCCAGAAAGGTTTTCTTCTCCCCTGCCAGAACCAGGAGATTTCGGAGCAGCTGCTCTACATGCTCAGCAAATCGGTGACACTGGAGGAGCTGGTGCTGGAAAACAGCGGGTTGAAAGCGTAAGCAGAGGCGTTGCAGGGCCCTGGGGCGGTGATGAGCAGAGTCTCAGCAGCCGGGTGGTGGTCCCCACGTGTTGATGGAGCAGGGGGGTCCACGGACCCCTGTGTCAGGGGGGTGTCGGTGCCTCATCCCCTCCACAGCGTGAAGCTCGCTGGGAGCAGAGACCCCAGCAAACATCACCGGCCCTCGGAGATGCTCCGCTTTCTGCTGCCACATGGCAGGAGCTGGTGGCACGTCCCTGTAAGGCTACGGGGTTGGTGGCCGTGTCTCCTGGAGGTGGCTGGGCCCTGATCAGATGGGTGACCCTTCTCCCCACAGTGACTTTGCTCAGAGAATGGCCCAGGCGCTCAGCAACCATCCCGACTCTGTCCTGCACACCATCAACCTTGCTGGCAACCAGCTGGAAGACAGAGGTACCCAACTTCTGGGCCGGGATGAGTGTACACTCATATGAGAACTGATGTTCAACTCTGGATCCCACCAGCAGCCGCCCCTCTGCCCCGGGGGCTGTAGCTGGGGGTGGGATGGACACCCGCCTGCGCTGTCACGGCTTCTCAGGGCTCTCTGCATTTTCATCAGGGATTGTGGCCTTCAGCCGGCACGTGGAGAAGAGTCCCAAGGGTCTGCAGAGCCTCAGCTTGGCCAGGACGATGCTCACTGCCAAAGGTACAGCCCGGCATCCCGCTCACTGCCCAGCACAGCGGTGCTCAGGGCCCCAAAGGGGTGGCTGGAGAGGCTGCAGGGACACCTTGGAAAGGGCATCTCCAAGGACGCAATGTCCTGCTGCCCCGGCTGTAGGAAAGTGCCCCTTCCTCTGCTCCGTGGCTCTCCCCACAGCAGGGGACCCGTGGGCATCCACCCCTTCCCCTCTCCCCAAGCAGGGATGAGCACATTATGCAAGGCCCTCGCGGATAGCAAAGCCATCGGATCCTCCCTCCGGCACTTGGACCTCTCTGGAAACCCTGGCACGCTGGCTGGGGACGACATCGGCGTGAGTGCCCGGGCTGCGATGGGGTGAAACCACCTGGGCTCTGTCCCCAGCGTGGTTTGGACAGCTTTGGTCTCCCCTGGTCTGTGCCCTGCCTTGCAGCACCCCAGGGATGGGGAAATCACGGCTGCGACACCTCCCTGCCTGCCTGGGGGCAGTTGAGGGGTGCACGGGGGACGCATCTCCTGCAAGGAGGTGGGAGATGCCACCTGGAGCAAGGATTTATCCCAGAAGCGAGCAGTGGCGTGGGGTCTGGGTGCCTCTGGGGCTCAGCAGGAGGGCGAGGAGGCAGGCTGGAGCTGGGATTTCTGGGCTGCAGGGTGCTGGGTGGGGGGGGCTGGGGCAGGGTCCTGGGCAAAGCCACTGAGCCCTCTCTGCCCCCAGAACCCGCAGAGCCTCCTCTGCCAGTGCCACTCGCTCTCCCACCTCAACCTGGCCGGCACGGACTGCTCTTTGGATGCTGTGAGTACCCACGCAGGGGGGCCCGGCAGCGAGCCCCGGCCCTCAGCACCCCCCCTCCCCTCCCAAAACCCTGGTGCACTGCTCGGGGGTGCTGCCACCCCATCCCGGCTGGCACGGGGCTGCAGAGACAGGGCGTACGTGGGGCAGCAGGCAGCCAGCCCAGCGATGTCCCGCTCCTTGCCCACTGCCACTGGTGGGTTGGGGGACTCGGGGTTCAGCAGAAGGGAAAAGGGAGCCCCCAGCGTGGGGCAGACCCCCTGAGCATCCCCCCATAGCTTATCCCATACCCTCACCCGTCCATCCCTGGGCTGGGTCCTCCTTGGCACGGCTTGCGTCCCCATGGCTCTCATCTCCATCCCGGCAGCTCTTTGGAGCCCTGGTCCACGGATGCCACACCAGCCTTGTCCACCTGGATCTCTCCAAAAACGTGTATTCCCACAAGTAAGCCCCTGGGACGGTGAGGCATGGGGGTGGGGGGGGGAAGTACATTCCCCGGGCGGCTGGCAGCTGAACGCCACGTTGTACCCGTCCTTTTCAGGAGGGTGAAAACCATCTCCCCTGACATCAAGAAGTTTTTCAGCCAGGCCTGCGCCCTCAGGCACGTCTCCCTGGCGGGTACCAAGCTGCCAGCAGATGCTGTAAGGTGAGGTGGGGCTGCGAGTCCCCCGAGGGGAATGAGCATGGCCCCGGGGGCGGGGGGGGAACCTCGCTCAGGGCTTTGCATGTTGAGGGTGCTGGTGGGGAGGATGGAGGGGGCTGGGAGAGGCAGAGCTCCGGGAAGGATGTCTTCTCCAGCACCCCGCTCCCCCCTGCCTGCACCAGGGAGGGGGTGCCCGGCGGCGGGTGCTGCTGGTGCCCCCGTTGCTTGCAGCGATGGGGTGGCTTTGGTGACTTTTCCAGGGCTTTGCTGCAAGGGCTGGCAGACAACAGCCACATCAGTGACCTGCGCCTGGACCTCAGCAACTGCGAGGTGAGGGGCCAGCACCCCTGGGTGCCATCAGTCCAGCCAGGACCACCCATTGCGGCGGTCGAGGGGGCTTGCTCCCTGGGGGGGGGGGGGGGGGGGGGGAAGGTCTGTGCCCTGCCCGCTGTGGGGCTGGGGTGACCTTCCCGACGGCAGGCTCTCGTTCGCAGGGCTCGGCGCCTCCCCTTGTACTGATGTCTTGCTGTTTCTTCCAAGCTGAGATCAGCGGGGGCCCAAGTCATCCAGGATCTCATCCCCGACGCCAGCTCCATCAGCGACCTGGACTTGTCCGACAACGGTAGGTCGGGTTTTTTTACCCCGCCTGGGAGAAGATCTTCTCCATCTGTAGGTTCTGCCACCAGAGGCACCTCGTGAGCTTGCAGGGAGTCCCCGGGGAGATGGGTAGAGTCTGCTGTGCTTGCCCACCTCTTGACCGCGCTGGCTAGTGCAATATTAAACTGCTCTTGTCACCTGTAAAAGTCCTTCAGCAGCAGGACCTGCAGCGCTACGGGCTGTGACTCATGGGGGTGAAGGCACTCAGCGGCCAGCTGTGGATTCCAGCCTGAGAATTACCACCTCATTAAGCTCTGACGGCTTTTTATCCCCCAAAACCAACCACCCCTCCATCTTCCCCAAGACAGGCAGTCCTCACATGTGCTCTTCTCCCTCTGCTGATGCCTTTCCCAGTGTGCCAGGCCTCTTCCATCACCTTCCAGCATTGCATCCCATGGTGGGCAGCGGTGGCGGCCCCTTGCCTCTCCCCTCATTCAGAGAGAGCATCTCCAGCATGGCGAGCGGGGTGAATTCCCCTCCTGCCTCAGGACTTGCCAAAAAGTCTCGCTTCGCATCTTTCTTGGTACAAGGCTCTTCAGCTCCCTGAATCAGAGGTGGTTTGAAGCACTGAAAAGATCTCCCTGGGCTGAAACTCTTCCCACCTCTCTTCAGGAGTTTGCAGCCTCTGCTCTCAACCTTGTCCTGCTGTGGCCTCCGAAGCCATGGGCGAGCAATATCCTAATTATCATCACCTCCGCCAGCTCTTAATTTCACCTAAAAGGCCCTGAACCTTAAAGCAGCCTTGCTAAGATCCCACAGCAGACCGTGCAGCTCCTTGACAGCCAGATGGCTCTGGGGAAGTTGATGTGGTCTAACGTCCTTCAGAAACACGCTTAGGCCACCAATGCTCCAAAAGCTCGCTCGTTTACCTAAAATCTCCAGCCGACCTTTGCCAAAATATGCTTCTGGCTTTGGCTTTCCCAGCAGAGCAGCTCTGTGCAGGACAGACAGTCCCACAGCCGGGTCTTGGTGCCTCTTGCCCTGGGCTGGCAGAGCGGCCCGGGGAGCAGATCTCTGCCCGTGTCCCTGCCCTGTGGGGGGGATGTCGCCTTTTCTTGCTGAATTCCCCCCCGGGGACGCTGTAGCCATGAGGGTGGGAGTGCAGGCAGCTGCCTGCAAGCTGTGAGAACTCATCCCCACGTTGGCCAGGGTGGGGGGGTGGGTGATGGAGGGCTCAGTTCCCTGCGGGGTGGCAGAAAGCAAGCCCTCTCTCACTCCGTAAGCGCAGCCTTGGCACCCCGAAGAGCAGGAATCCCAGAGCAGGGTGCACCTTCCCCCGGGGTCACTCCTCAGGGACCCTGGCTCTGCACAGGCCTTTGATCTCCTTGGGGGGGTAGCCATGAAGCGGAGGAAGATGCTCAGGAGTTGCGCTGGGCATCTCTCCACCATCCCATGGTGGGTGTGCAGGTCTCCTGCGAGGGACCACCTTGGTACCGCTTGGGAGCATCCCAGCGGGTATCTCCCATCCCTCACAGGCTTCGACCCCGACATGGTGACGCTGGTGCTCTCCATTGGCAGAAGCAAGTCCATTAGGCATGTCTCTCTGGGGAAAAACTTCAACATCAAATCCAAGTAAGTGCAAAGCCGCAGCGCCCGGCCCAGGAGCCGTCCTGGCACCATGCGCCCGCCTCGAAACTCTCTCCTTATTGAAAGCCCGTGGGCTGGTCAGGAATGCCAGGGGCTCCCTGCTCGTCCTGCCTGCTCCAACTCCAACCTGGGGCTGTGGGGGGCCACCGCGCGGTCCCAAGGGACTGCAGGCACTGCAGGGACAGGTCACGGCCTCGGGCAGGAGCGGGAGCGGGGACGGAGCTCCGCCAGCCGCCCCTGTGGCCTCGGGGGTGGGATGCATGTGTGTAACCCCCCCCCCCCCCCCCCCCGCCTCTCCCGCAGGGAGGGGCTGTTGGATGTCCTGCACCGCATCGTCCAGCTCATCCAGGAGGACGACTGCGTAAGTCCGACTCGCCCCCAACCCCCCCCCAGCCATCCCACCACCACCCTCCCACCATCCACCCCCGCACAGCCTCCGTGCCGGGGTGCCGTCCAGATCCCTCCCAGCACAGGCTGGGAGCAAACCTCCCTCCCTCCCTCCCACTGCCGTTCGAATCCTTCTGCTCTTGTTTCCCTCTGTCTGAAGCAGATGCTCAGATGGAGAAGCGAGAGCTGTTCCCGTTCATCTGGGAAAGCAGGAGCCTGTGTCTGGCTAAAGGCGCGAAGGAGATGCTCAGTGTAGCCTGGCTGCAGCCCAGCTTTACCAAAAAAAACCTCTTTCCTCCTCGCTGCCTGCCAGGCCTCTGAGCTAAATCCAGGGTGTTGCCTAAGCACCCGTTGCCCTCCTGGTTTTTGGGGTTCAACATGACTTTGGCTCTCCAAAACCAACGCTGGGCGGTCGCAGCGGCTGCCGGATGGGGCTGGAGGCTGTGTCTGCAAGGGTGACACGCGTCCTGGCCACCTCTCCCCCTCCCTGTCCCCTTTCTAGCCTCTCCAGTCCCTGTCCGTGGCCGAATCACGCCTCAAGCTGGGAACCAACGTCCTGCTGAGTGCCCTGGGCAGCAACACCAGCCTCATCGCTCTGGACATCAGCGGCAATGGCATGGGGGACACGGGGGCCAAGATGCTAGCCAAGGCCCTGCAGATCAACACGAAGCTCAGGTAGCAGCAGGTCCACGTCACCCTCCGGGTGCCCTTCCCACCTTGTGCTGGGTGGCCCTGATACGGAGGTCCTGGTTGTGGTGCTGATGCCATCAGAGGAGGCTTATCCTGGCTCCTGGTGACCACGGATATGTCCCTGGGCCATTCCTGGTGCTCGGTCAGGTGCCCTGTGACCATATCTCGCTCTCGTGGCAGTCATCTGGCAGTGCTGGCAGGGGACATGTGAAGGGCAGGAGAGAAGCTCAGTCCTGCCCCGGCACTTGCCAGCTCTTTGCCAGGCTCCTGCACAACCCGGATCGCTGAAGCCAAACCCTTGCGGTCACTGCCCTCACCCTTCCCTCTGGCATCAGTTCCTCAAATGCCTTTTTTTTTTTTTTTTCCCTGACCACAAAGGTGAGGCAGGGTTGTTTGCAGAGGGTGGGGAAGGGTGTCCCAGCCAGGGCTGTTCCTCTGGGGGACATCTGCCCCCACCAGCAGGATGGTGCCTGACTGTGTCCTCCCTGCCCTTTACTCCCTCCAGCCACCCAGGAACTTTACAGTCCCTTGCAAAATCCAAGTTCAGGTTTTGAACATTGCGATTCAGAGTTTTAACCCCATTTCTAGGCTTTCTGGTGCCTGAGGTCAGCCTTGGGCTCACTCTTCCTAGCACTCGGTGGGTGGGCACCCCCCTTGGGGTGTGGGTAGGGCTCACTAGTCTCCCCTTTGCAGGACTGTGGTTTGGGACAGGAACAACACAACTGCCCACGGGCTCCTGGAGGTGGCTCAGGCTTTGGAGAGGTAAGGAAGGAGCCGTGTGAAGGAGAGGCTTGTTACCACCAGGCAAAAGAGCCTCTGGGGCACCACGATGTCAATGTCCCCAGGGCCTCTTGTCCCCTTGAAGCAGCAAATGCATCACACTCTTGCAACAGAGGTCCCAAGGGAGTTGGTTCACAGCTCAGGCCTTGCAACCAGCAAGGCAACTTGCCACCCGTTCGGGTGATGACACCTTGGTTACCGACCCCAGGGTCTCCCCTGAGCTCTGCATCCCAACCCAGCCCAGCCCCGTCTCACCCAAGGCAGCCCCCAGCGAGCCTGGGGGCGGGGGGGTGGGGTGGGGGGGATCCCATGAAAGATGGGTAGAAGCTGTCCACCTGCCAAACCCACCGTCGGGTCTGGTGTTTGACCATGGAGGTTCTCTGGAGGCCTGAAGGAAGAGGGATGGATGGATGGATGGATGGATGGATGGATGGATGGATGGATGGATGGATGGATGGATGGATGGATGGATGGATGGATGGATGGATGGATGGATGGACGGACGGGCGGGCGGATGGATGGATGGGTGGATGGACGGACGGACGGACGGGCGGACGGACGGACGGACGGTTGGATGGGTGGATGGATGGATGGATGGGTGGATGGGTGGATGGATGGATGGATGGATGGATGGATGGATGGATGGATGGATGGATGGATGGATGGATGGATGGGTGGATGGATGGATGGATGGATGGGTGGATGGATGGATGGATGGATGGATGGATGGGTGGGTGGATGAATGGATGGATGGATGGATGCACGGATGGATGGGTGGATGGATGGATGGATGGATGGATGGATGGATGGATGGATGGATGGATAGATGGATGGATGGATGGATGGATGGATAGGTGGATGGATGGATGGATGGATGGGTGGATGGATGGATGGATGGGTGGATGGGTGGATGGATGGATGGATGGATGGATGCACGGATGGATGGGTGGATGGATGGATGGATGGATGGATGGATGGATGGATGGATGGATGGATGGATGGATGGATGGATGGATGGATGGATGGATGGATGGATAGATGGATGGAGAGCCTGGGTGGGTGGTTTGCTGATGGCCGGAGTTCGGCCATCCCCATCTCCGGGGTTGGACCTCAGGGCAATGCCTGGGCTGCCAAGGGGTGGGCTCCGGACCGCCGTCGCGCCTGTGGGGCAAGGCACGGCGGGGATGAGCCCCTCCAGGCTGGCGAGGGCTCCGGCAGCACCTGCTCACCCCCCCGTGCTGCCTTGCAGGAATTACACCCTCAAGTCGATGCCCTTGCCCATGAGCGACGTGGCGCAGGCGTACCGCAACAACCCCGAGAAAACGGAGGAGGCCGTGCACAAGGTGGGGGGGGGGGGCTCTGTTGGGGGGGGGCGCGGGGGGCCGGGTACCACCGACACCGGCTGCTGACGGCCTCTTGCCTGCTGCAGCTCCAGTCCTGCCTGACGAGGAACCAGCTGCGGCGCACGCTGCCCGCGCAGACCTTCCGCCTGCAGCAGGGCATCCTCACCACCTCTTCCGAACAGGTTTGCCGGCCAAATTGCCGCACGGGGAGGCCCTCCCCCCTGCCCCAAACAACCCCGGTTAGATTGGGGGAGCTCCCGCGAGCGGCACCAAACCCCTTTTCGCTTTTTCTGAGCGGAGGAGAGCAGAGCGGTCCGGAGGGATGGGAGTGGGGCCAGGCAGAAAGGATATCTCCAAGAAACCCTCCGGGTTGCATCCATGAGTTTCATGCATATGCAACGCTGGGATGCCTCCCTGCTACGCTCCCCCACGCAGCGTGTTCCCGGCTCCCTGTGCGCGTCTGCAAGCAAATCCCTGCCATGCCTTATCCCCAATTATCAGGCAGGGATGCTCCGGAGGGGGATGTAACCCTCCTGTAGCCCCCACCGCCCCACTGGGCAGCACATCCTTTGCTGGGAAAAATCACGGCGAGGAAGGGAACCGGCAGCGCTGCGCCGGCGTCAGCGTGTGACGCAGCCTCTCCGCGCTCCAGATGGTGAATGAGATCTGCCTGAGCGTGCAGAAGCACGTCGACATCCTCAGCGCCTGCCCGGGCAGGGAGGCGGAGGCGGACATCCTCTGCGCCGAGGAGGCCATCAGGAACGCCAACCTCTCCGTCAGCGTGAGTCCGCCGTGCGGGGAAACCCCTCCACTCGCCCGGCCTCCGTTCGGGATCGAAGCGGGTTATCGATTAGCTCGTGCCATAAATCACCGGGGAGCACCAGAATCGTCAGTGCGACAGATGCGCGTCACCGAGCGCTTGCAGAATGTCAAAGAACAGCTGTGAATTTCAGAAGCCCCTTCTAGAAAAAGGCCTAAAATGTTCTTAATCCCTTCCCCCCCCGCCTCCCCAAGTGGCACACAGTTGTGTGCACACACCCCACCCCGGGAAGTGGGGGTCGCAAGGGCACCCCTTGCTCGTGCAACCCCTCCTTGGGAGAGGTGTGTGTGTGCTCCGGCTTTGGGCACACCCTGCAACCCACAGATCCCCACGCTGGTGAGGAACACTCCCCGCACCCCAGAGGTGTCCCTCCTGGGGGCACCTCCATCCCAGCCCCGCCTGGACGCAGCCCAGCGATGAGGATGCCCCTTCAGCCCATGGTGAAGGCCACTCCAGGCACTGTCAGCCCTGCTTTGCTCCTCCCGATCCCACTTCTTTCTCCCCATTGCACCTTCTCCTCCTTCTTCTATACATCTCTTCAAACCACCTCCTCCTTCTTTTCCCCAAATTTACTGGCAACCCCCCCAGGTACTTAATCCAGCGGAAATAGGATTTAAGAGGAAGGTGCCAACGGTGGAGAAGTGGTGAAAGGGATGGGAAAGGGTCTCCCCTGATTCAGGCAGCAGCGTGGCTGGGCTCAGGGGGAGAAGGAGGGTCAGTGGGTGGTGGGGAGCAGCGGGGGATCTGGCTGGGGAGCACAGGGACCACGAGTGGCCACGACGCCCAGCAAAGCAAAGCTGCGTCTCCCCAGCTGATGTAGGTGATGCTCTTCCCTGGGGCAGCCACTGTATTCTCTCTCTCTTCCCGTGGCAGATCCTGCCCCTCTTGTACGAAGAGGGAAACACCCCGTACCAGAACAGCAAACTGCAGCACAAGCTGGAGTGTCTCACAGAGGAAGCGTCGCAGATCTGCAGCCGGGAAATCCAGGTGGGCACCCACGGGGAGCTGCCAGCAGCACGGGATGCTCAGCGGCCTCGGCCCGAGGATAAGGGACACGGTGTCTCCTGGAAACCCTGTGAGTCCTGGTAAAAAAGAGAATGAAAACTCTCCCTTTCCTCCCCAAACTTCAGGCGATCATGCAGGCAGCGCTGGACACGGCGCACAGACTCTGCCCAGCCGTGGTGCAGAAGTCCGGGGTCAGGGACCAGCTGGTCAACGCCATGTCGGAGCAGATCTACCTCCAGGACCACCTCAACCTCAGCACAGTCCTGGACCAGATGGTCACCGACGTCTTCAGCAAGCTGAAGTGGGTGACGTGCCGTTCTTCCTTCTTGCTCGGCGGCTGGTGCTCACCCACGGGGCCAGATGGGGATTTTGGGGACTTCCTACCAGCTGCTCCCCTCCCCACGTGGTGGTGGTGGTGCTGGGCCCTGCCGCTGCGTTTTCCTGCCTGTGGCTTTGCTTGGATCTGGTTCAGCTGTGTCCCGAGGGATCTGGGAATTCCCGTGGGGTGATGCTCCCCCAGATGCATCCCTGCGGCTGGCAGAGGGGAGCCCTCGCCGTTAATTGGGGGGGGGGGGGGGGGGGGGGGATGCACTCAGCATCCTTCATCCCAGACAGCGCCTGCTCCCGTTCCTGCTCCAGCAGCACCCACCCAGTGAGCCGGAGCCCAGGGCATGTCCTGGGTGCTCCTCTGGGTGCAACGGCTGAGCAGCCACCTCCCCGGCAAGGCTCTCCCCTGGGGCGGCCGGCCCCACGGCTTGCAGGGGCTGTGGGCGCTGGCCCTGACACCCCTCTCTCCGCTCCCAGTGAAATCAAACTGTCCGTCACAGCCGCTGTGGCCGACTGCATCGTGGATGCCGTGCTGGGAGACCTGACCATCGCCCAGTGCAAACTGGTGAGCGCCAGGGGCTGCCTGCACCAGCGGGCCGGGGATGCGGGGCTGGGGATGTGGGGCTGGGTACCCCGGCATTGCCCAGGCACCAACCAACGCTACGACCATGGGATTTTATCGTCTGGGAAACAGGACAGTTCCCAGCCAGGCTGGTTTTCCTGCCAAGTAATCCTCTCCCAGTGCGGTCGCAGCAGCGTTAACGTCCCGAGGGATGTCCGGGAGCCGCTGCGTGGTGGGGGGTGCCGGGGTGAAGCCGGGCACCGGCCGCTCGTGCACTGGGGCAGGCGTGGGGCAGCTGCGCCGGGGCTGGCAGCCGGCTAATCAGGCCTAAATCCGCTCGCAAATCCCAGCCGTGGGTCGGGAACGGAGCAGCGCGGAGCACGCAGGGCTCGCTTCAGCCCCCGGGGGACCATTTCAGCGTTTTCTAATGGTTTTAGGCGGAGAGCCTCCCCAAGCAGGGGCTTGACCTCCCGGTGCTGCTGCCAGAGCCAGCTGAGGATGACGCCGCTGCGCTGGCAAGGGGCAGGAATCCTCCAGACCTCGCCGCAGAGGAGGTAGGGCCCGACCCCGTTGCCACCCCGTGATGCCCACGCTATAACCACCTTTTTATCCGCCTTCCCGGATGATGCCGGGCTTAAAGCCGCAGCCTCTCCGGGGGACACGCACCCCCGGCACCTCCCCAGGGCAGCGCTAAGGGAATCAGTGCTGGGACATGGGACTGTCACCCTGCTCGGCCACGCTGCCTGCCCTGCCAGCACCAAAAATATGTCCTTGCGGTGGCCCGGGCTGGTCCCAGCCACACGCGGCCCCTCCGGCCAGCCGGTGTTTCGGATCTGAGATCCAGCCCAGCGCGGCGTCCCGGCCAGGAAAGCGTGCGATCCAACGTCGTGGGGGGTTTCGGTGACGGATCAAGATGAGGGGGTGCAGCCCTGGGGGTCTGGGGGTGATGGAGGGATTGCACCCATCTCCGGGAGAAGCCTGGCTGGCTCCGGCTGCCGCAGGATGCCACTCGCCAGCTTATCAACACCGAAGCCACCGCCGTCCCTCTCTCCCTGCAGTACAAGATGGCCCTGCGGAGGAAAAACAAGCATTTCAGGAGCATTCGGCCCACACCAACTGTGAGAAGTAAGGCCACTGCGCGGCTTTCCCTTTGCTGTTTTTTGGGGGGCTGGCTGGCTCAGCCCCCACGGGTAGCAGGAGAAATGCCCTGAGCTCCCCTCCCCAGGCAGGAGAAATGCCCTGAGCTCCCTCCCCAGGCAGGGGTGGGAGGTTTGTCCGTGACTCGGGACGCCGCGGCATCTCCCCCTGCCCTGCCAGCGACAACCCCGGGCGCGGGCATCCCCAACCCACCCAAGCCCCCCTGGGGACCTGCTACAGGGGAGGGGACGTTGCCCACGGGCGCTCCTGGTGCTGAGCTGCCCCGGGTTGGTGTTGCCCCACAGATCCCTGTGTCCCCGGGGAGGGGGGGGCAGGATGCAGGGCAGGGGGGCGTGCAGGCAGTGAGCGGCTGATGGGCGACTTCTGCTTTTCGGGGTTTTGGCTGTGATGCATATTTGGCTCCAGCTGAAGCAGAGCTCACGCCGGCCCCCAGCACCTAGCACCCAGGTGTCCCCCGGGGACCCCTGATGTCCCCCAGCCCTGCAGCGCCCTGACCCCCATCCAGCGGGTAACTGGGGAGGGGGGGGGGGAGGAGGTGAGGAGCTGCCCGCAGAGCAAAATGGGGGGGGGAGGTTTGTGGGTGCCAGCGCTGGCAGAGCTTGTGCTCTACGGTTGCTACTCGCCGCAGGTCTCGGGGCTTGCTGCGGGGGTCTGCTCGCTCCCTGCCTGAGCATCCCTTCCCCCCCCCCCCCCCCGCCCCCCCCGCAGCATCCCACGCACGCACGGCTCCGGGGACCAGCGGCGGGATCCGTCCCCAGCTACGCCGCAAAGCCGCCGCGGCCACGCTCCCCTCGCCGCGGCGTGGCACGGCGCGGGGGGCAGCCGGCGGCCCGCTGACCCTCTGCCCGTGGGCGAAGGTGACGGTGGCGACGATGGGGAAGCCCGGCGAGGCCGGGTGCCAACCGGGGCCCTCTCACCCCTCGTAGGTGTCTCGGAGCTGGAGCCGGCGGCGGGCAGGGACGCCAGCGGGCTCCGAGCTCACCGGGCGCCGCCGTCACTCAGCCCCGCCGCGCCGCCGGCACGCCCTGCCTCCACAAAGGATGCTGAGCCTGCGAGCAGCTCGCTCCCCTCCACGCAGCCTGCCACCACCACCGCCGCCGGATCCCTTATGGACCTGCCGACCGCCGGCGAGAAGCTGGAGCATTGCACCAAAGCCAGGCCCCGGCCCAACCGCCGGCACAAGCAACCGCCCAGCAAGCCCAATGTAAGGCCGGGGGGTGGCGGGGGGGTGGCAAGGTGATGGGGGGGAGGAATTGTTTGTTTGTTTCTTTTTATTTCCCTTTTTTTTTTTTTTTTTTTTTTTTTTTTCCGATTGGGTGAATTATCGCGGTCGGTATTTGTTGCGAGGCAGGAAAATGAGATGCGCGGAGCCGCGGCTGGTTTATTATCCTGCATTTCAGCCGCTGCCGGAGCCTCCTTGGAGGAGGGGGGCAGCCCAAAAAGATGGTCAGGGGGGGCCGGGGTTGGGGGGGGGGGGGGGGGGCCAGGGAAATCATCCATCCCCTTTTCCTGCTGCCCGCTGGGAGATGCTGAGCAGTGGGAGCCAGCAGGGAGGCAGCGGGGAATGAAAAGAATGAAAAAACCCGCAGAGTTTGGGCGCAGAGGGCTGGCGCGCTCGGCAATGGCTCCAGCTGCCTCTCTCCTGCGCCCAATTTGCTCCCCCCCACCCCCCCACCCCCCCCCCAATCCAAAACCCAGCGGCTGCTGGTGATGCCGGTGGGACTCTGCCGGCCGCGGTGGGGTGGGTTTCACTTCCCCCCCCACACCCCCGCCACCCTAAAGGGTGAGCGGCTGGGGATCCTGCCTTCGCAGCCCCCTCCCCAAAGGAAAAGTAACTTTTGGGTGCAGCCAGCGGAGAGCCGAGCTCCGTCGTCGTCCCCAGGGCTGGATCCTGCCAGCATCCCCTCGTCCCCACGCCACCATGATGTAGCTGGATCCTTCCACCACCTGGAAAGCCCCGGCTTGCATGGCCACGGTGATGCTTGCCTTTGGACCATGGTGGGACCAGTGCTGCCACGGGGCTGGAGGAGAAGTGGGAGAGGTTTCCCAAGGACAGGATGGGTGCTGGAGGCTGGCAGGGGCCGGGCAGGGCCCGGGGACCATCCCCTTGGCACATCTCTCTGCGGCGGGATGGGCAAGCTCGGTACCCGGGGTTGGCCAGGGCTTGAGCGAGGATGGGCTTTGACAGATGCGAGGTGACAGGGAGAGCAGATCTCAGATGGCTGGAACGGCTCCTGAGCGGAATCAATCCAGCCGTAATGAAAAGTCATTATGGATCGAAACGCCGCCGATGGCGAAGCGCCTGCCTCTCGTCGATAGGAAGCCACTGAGGTGGTGGCACATGCCCGGGCCAGGAAGGTGCCGTGCAGGAAGCCTCGGCCGCGGCACGGACCGCTGTGCCGTGAGTGGCCTTCATCCAGGCTGCGGTGACACTCCAAGGTTGGGCTTGAGGATGAGCGTCAGCCTGAAGGATGCAGATGCGGGTCCTCAGAGGGCACCCGCTCCATCACCCGCCACGAGCGTGGGTGTCTCTCTCTTGGGGCTCGGGCGGAGGAAGCATCCCTGCCCAAGGCTTCTCCCCACGGGACAGCGGGGTCGGAGACCTGGCCCGGCTCTAGGAGGGTTTTAGCAGGATTTGGCGGCGTGTGTCACCAAGGAGGGTCAGAGGCACCTTGCCTGTGTGCAACGCAGGGGTGCCTGAGCGTGGGTGGGTGCCATACCCCAGCCACCGCGCCGGGGAGCCACCGGCACCCCACCCGTGGCACCCAGCGGGGTGCAAGGGGCTGGCAGCCAAGCAGGGAGGTGCAGGGGGCCGGCTGGAGCTCCCGACTCCCCAGGAGATGTGGCAGGATTAGTGCTGGGCTGCAGCTGGTAACACCACGGTCTGGCTTTCCTGCTGGATGCACAGCGAGACGGAGGGTGCCAGCACCCACCCCGCACGGACACCCGCTTGGTTTTGCACAGGCGTGGGTGGCACGTGTTCGTGTGGGGCCGGGGGGGGGAGGATCTTTGCCCCGCGCCGGGCTGACGGCTGCGCTTGCCCGCAGGTGCAGCCCGTGGCCTGCGAGAACAGCGAGGACAGGAGCATCACCCGCGTGGACGAGGGGTTGGAGGACTTCTTTGCCAAGAGGCTCATCACAGAGGAGCTGCCGTAAGCCCAGCAGGGTGCCCAGGGTCCCCGCACCCACCCAGCACCCTGGAGCGCACCCATCCCTGCTTTTACCTACCCTGTAGACGCTGCTGGTCCCAGTGCTGAAGGGATGCTGGGGAAAACATCCCACCCAGGGGCGTGGGCAAGGCTGGCGGGAGAAGGCTGGGATAGCAGCCGTGGGGTGCAGGATGCGGCCAGCACAGCACTCCCACAAACCCGGGGAGGGGGGGGGAAACCATAAACCCATAGCGGGGGAGGCAATGGGGCAGCACCCATGGGGTCCCACGCTGGGAACGGCTGTCCTTGCCAGGACAGCTTCGTCTCGGGTGGGATGTCTGGGATCTGGATCCATCCTTTCATGGGTGGGAAGGGGGGGGAAAAAAAAATAATCCCTAAGCCCCTTGGCAGCCTGGAGTTCACCTTTCCCAATACTTCATCTCTTCCCAGCCCCACGGCTCCGGAGACCTGCCCGGGATCAGCCCCTCTGGCCCACTCCGGCTCCCGCACCCTCAAGAAGAAAATTGGGAATTTTTTTGCCTTCAAGAAACCCAAATCCAGCCGGGGCTCGAGGTGTGAGAAGGAGCCCGAGGGTGGCCCTGCTGCCCCCCGGAGCCGGCGCTCGATGCTCAGTGACATTTTACGAGCCCCCAGCAAGGCGGGCGAGGCGGGCAAGCCGCTGAGTAAATCGGAGGAGGGGGGGCTCGCTGCCGAGCCCCGGGCAGAGCCCGAGCACTGCCAGACCCCCGACTCTGCCCGCAGGATCCGGCCCAAGTACTCACGGGAGGGCAAATCCCAGTCGCTCATATTGCTGTCTGGGGAGGACGAGGACGCGCTGGGGGTCAGGCACGACAAGGTAAGCCCTGTCACTGTCACCAAGCCACTGCCACTGATGTTTGGCTCACCCGGTGGGTGCTGCTCCCACCCAAGGGTGCTGGGGGGGGGGGGGTCAGCCAGGCACCGGAGCAATGGCTGGGGAAATCTTCGCTGGGTTGTGGCTGTGCCTCCATCTCCCGGGAGCGTGGCTGGGGGTGGAGACCTGGGAGCCCCACAGGGTGCTGGGGGTGCTGCGCTGGGTGCTGTGCCCCCTGGCAGGGCCGTGTCTGTCTGTCCGTCCCGCAGAAAAGGCACCTGGAGAAGAGTGAGGGCGAGCTGCCCGGCTCCTTCGAGCAGCGCATGCAGGTCATGCTCCACCGCATCGGTGTCACCAAGGGCCCGGCCGCCGAGGGCAAGAAGCAGCAGGTAGGGAGGAGCTCAGCGTTGGGGACAGATCCTGCACCCAAAGGGCGGGCAGAGGGGGTGGTCCATGGGATGGGGGGGTCGCCTGGCCGGGACCGGCAGCACCCAGCTCTGTGCTGCCACTGCCCATGGCCTCTGTCCTGTCACCTAACCCTCAGCAAGGGGACTGGTACGCGGGCTTCTATGCGCTGCGAGCTGTCTGTCTGTCTCTCCCTCCTTCCCTGGCAGGCACCCATCCCCTGCAGTCACCCCAGAGCCTGGCAGCCCCCCGCCCTCTGCCACCCATTGTCCCTGAGGGTGCTGCCACCCTGACCCCCACACTTACCAGCTTTCTTTCCCCTTGTAGAGCAAAGACAGCGAGATCAAGAAAGCCGGCTCTGACGGTGAGGGACTGCACCCTCCCCACCCAGCTGGGCACCCACGGGCTGGGCGTGGGCAGACCCCCCCCCACCTTGGGCTCCCAGCTGTGGCTCCCACCACGTCCCCCCCTCCCTGGGTGCTGGTGGCACGGGGAAGACCCCAGCTCACTGATGCTGGCCTGTGGCTTGTGCTTGCAGGGGACATCGTGGACAGCTCTGTGGATTCCCCCCCCTCCCTGAAGGCCCGCACGCACTCTGTGTCCACAGGTAGGTCACCAGTGGGTGCTGGGGGGTGGGGGGAGCGGGTCACACCACCACCCCCCCCCCCGGGCTGAGGGCTCTATCCTCTCTGCTAGCACTCAGCAGTGCTACGTGGGGACTGGAGCCCCGCACCCATAGGTGCTCAAGCCTGGTGATGGCAGATGGAAACCCAGCCCCTTGCCAGCGTCTTGGAGCGGCTGCAGCTCAGTTCCCAACACCAGGAGCCATCCCCTGGGGCTGGGCACCCACAGCTCTGTCCTGCCTCCCCCACAGACGCACCCTTCCGTGGCGCGCCGGCCACCACGGAGCCCAGCGCCGGCGCGGCCGAGCCCCGACCCACATGGAAAGCCCTGGGGAGGCCGCTGCCCGCCAAGCTGCAGGGCACCGGTTCCGACCAGCCCCGACACTCCTTCATCCCGGCTGAGCCCTGCGGGCTGCTGGAACCGGGGGGCCGGGAGGGCTGGAGCAGCAGCCTGCCACGGCCGGGGAGGAGCACGCCGGCGGCACTGCCACGGAGGGTCAGCCACGGCGGGGAGGGGGGTGCCGGCAGCCCCCTGCCCACGCTGCCCGACGCCGAAGGTAGGTCCCCCAACCCACCGCTGGCCTGTTCCCGGAGCCCTTTGGGGAACTTAGAGCAGCAGGGACCCAAGCACCCAGCACTGGGTGCTGATGGGGGGAGCTGCTCTGAGATTGGGGTGCTGCAGGGCACACACACACACACACACACACACACCCCCCACCCCCGGCCTTGCCAAGCACCTCCCCGATGCTTTTTCAGACAACCGGCTGACGCCGCGGCTGGTGGCACCATGGGGGACCGGCCGCCGAGCTGTGTCCGTCCACGAGGAGCAGCTCAGGGAGCCCGAGTGCCCGGCGGAGCTGGGAAGTAAGCGGGGGCTGGAGCGGGGACCCCTCAACACCCTTTTCACCCCACGGCAGGGGCACGGTGGCATCCCATGTGCCTTTTGGTGGCACCTCTCAGGTGCCGGGGTGATGCCTGATGGCGTCACTGCGCTGGGAAGATCCTGGGGTTGGCGGGGGGACTTGACACTGGGATGGGCTCCGGAAGCAGCCGGGCTGCCCCGGGGTTCACAGGCAGAAAGGGGGGCAGGAGCAGAGGGCCGGGGGGGGGGCTGCACCCCACCAAAACACGGGGCTGGGTTGTGTTTCCCCCAGCGGGCACCGTCCCCCTGCGCCTGCGCCGGTCGCCCGTGCTCAAACGGAGAACCAAGCACGATTCCCTCCCGGGGCCGGAGGGTGAGCCCAGACCGTCCTCGGATGCTGCAGGTGTGCGACGCGCTGCTCCCCCTCCCTCGCACCCCTGCTAAAGTTGGGTGTCGGGGTACGGAGGGTTCCCCGCCCCCCAACACTCACGCCAGCACCCGTGACCTCTCTAGGTGCCACGCCGCAGGATCGGCCCCGCGCCGGGCTGGAGGAGCCGCAAGCTGGAGCGGGTCCCGGAGGCGAGCGGTCGCAAGCCCCGGCACAAACTGTCCCGAATGCACAAGACTCAGCAGCCGTAGACCAAAGATGCCCGGTGCTGGGCCGGGGGGAGCCAGCCCGGGGGCAGTGAAGCCCCCCTGCATGCCGCTGCGCTGTTCCCAATAAAACCCTGCAAGCAAGCGCGCGGTGCCGGGGTGGTCGGCAGCCGGGGTGCGGAGAGCAGAGACGGGGAGCGGGTCTGCTCCGTACCAGGCTGGCGTGGATGCGGCCACGGGGCCGGCTAACGACGGCATCGCCCACCTTCCGCTGCGGGGACGGCCGGGTCACCGTCCCCCCGGGGATGCCCGGGGACCGTGCCGGAGCCCTCGGGGCACACCGAGCGGCATCGCCTCCCCCGGCTGCAGCGGGGGATGCTGGCGATTGTCGGCAGCAGTCGGGCAGGCAGCGGCGGTGCTGGCAGCCAGCCATTTTTAGCGAGCATTACCAGGGCCCTTTCAGCTCCCCGGCTCCTCACCCCGCGGGGTACCGCTCTCTCCAGCCCCGCCAAGACGCAGGTTTCCATCGGCGGGACCGCGACCTCTCGCGTTTCAGCACGCAGCTCTGCAGCCCAGCTCCCGCCGCCCCGTCCCCGCAGCTCTCCCGATGGCACCGGCGTTACCCCAACACCCAACGCCGCTTTCTCCTGTGTTGACCTCCGCTCCGGACCAAATGCATTCCTTACACAGATGTTTACGACAAAGCAGCAAGATGCTTCTTTTTTCTTTTTTTTTTTTTTTTTTCCCCCCCCTTTTTTTTTTTTTTAATACAAGAGCTGTGTATTTAAAAAATATACAATTTTTATTTTCAATTTCTACGGCATAACCCTGCAGGATATTTTTTGTAATGAACAGTGCAGGACCCTACCTAAATCAATCAGTAAAACATCCAAAGGCCTGAGCTGCCTTCAGAGCAGGGATCAAGTTGTGGGGCCTCTGCCCCTGCTATGGTGGCATTGTGTCACCTCTTGTCCCCACTCGCTGAGCCAAGGCGTTTGGAAAGGAGGAAAAGGTGGGAGAGGGATGCCAGCTCACGCACAGGCATCCCTGAACGGATGCTTTTGTCCCCTGTCAGCGCTGAGGGTGCTGGCCTTCAACAGGTCATGTCCCCAGCATCTCTGGAGCCGGGGTCTCTGCGGCCAGGCCAACCCACTCAATGGCCCCCTTGGGGACAGGGGTCCTGGTATCCCCCCCCCATCTTCCCAGGCAGCCCTAAATTGTTTTGCCTGAACTGGTGAAAAGATAAAGGACGGGCTTGGCTCAGGAGTCTCCCTCCCTGTCCACGAGTATCCAGCACGCCCACTTCAGCATCGCCTTCGAGATCCTGCAAAACCAGACCAGGGGGGCCAGGGTGAGGAGGGCCCCAGCCGGGGACACACTGCCCCGTGACGAGGGGTAAGGCAGAGTTTGGGGACCCGTTGCAGGGATGCAAGCAGCAACGCCCGCAGCCCATGGGGCCAGCCGTGGCGGGGAACAAGGGACGGCCGTACGAGGCCATCGCTGCACTGACCTGACAGATCTTATCTGCTCGCAGAGCTCGGGGCTTGGTGCCTCGTATCTGTACTGGACCGGCTTCTCTTTCACATACTGCAGAAGCAGAGGGGAGGGTGAGGCTGCTCTGCCCCAGCCACGGAGCCCAGAGCGCGGCCCCACCATGCAGCCCGAGGCCCCGATACTCCGGAGCCTCTCCCTCAATCGTTTCCTGCTCTTCCAATCTTATTGAAGCTGGAAGATGCTCCAGCAAGTGTCGGTTCCCACCCAGCTCGGGCTCCACCACATCTTCACCCAGATCCTTCGGTAGAGTTGGGGCTGCCATCTACAGCGACGCCTGCTTTCAACTCCCCCTCCCCACCAGCCAGGCGAGGAAAGGCCTTGCGGATGGACACCAGTGGCGGGGGGACACACAGAGAACCTCCCTGGTGAACACACCCCCCCCCTCCTCCCACCTCAGGGAATCCCCCCCCCCCCCCCAGTTTGCTTCATCTTTACCGGTTGCAGAGCTCTGCGCTGCTCCATCCTGGCGCTGGGGCTGCTCGCTGGGGCTGCCCGCTCCTCCTCCTCCTCCTCCTCCATCTCCTCAGAGAGCTCCTTTCCAGGCCGCAGCCCTGCCGCCTCTTTTCTGCTCTTCTTTGCACGCTGTGTGCTCACGGGCTCCAGCCTCCTGCCCTTCTCCTTCCCCTTGCCCCGCGGGGCACCGCGGGGACGCTGCGGCCCACCGAGGGCCAGCAGCGCCTGGCCGTCATCTCCCGCCATCAGCTTCCTCTTGGCACCCGCAGCATCTCCTCCCCGGGTCCTGGCACAAGCCAGCCCACGCTTCAACGCATGTGGTGGGAAATCCGTGCCGCTGGAGTCCGCCTGCTCCCTGTGAGGCATCCCTTCAGGCAGGGGTTGCAGGCGGCTGCTGGGCAAGACGGGAGAAGCCGGCGAAAGGGACGGCAGGGTGGCCTGAGAGCCCCCCGATGCCTGCGGGCCTTGAGCAGCGCAGGGGGCATCGCAGGCCGCCTCCGCGGCTGATGGTGCCCACGTGGTGCCGGTGCCCACCCGGCCGGTGTTGCCGTAGAAGCAGAGCAGGGAGGGAGAGGAGGCCTGCACCGGCTCTCCCGGCAGCAAGCCCTCGGGAGAGCCCTGGCTACACGGTTCCAGCAAGTCGGGGGTGTTGCTGTCAGCAGCCAAATCTTCCTGGGTCTTCAGTGAGTGGTCCTGTGGAAAGGTCTCTGGTGAGAGAAAACGGACGGTCAGCTTGGGCAGGGGGGCTAGAGGCGGGACCTGCCCCAGCGTGTCAGGTCGGGCAGGACAGCCTGGGAGCTGGAATGATGCAGGCGCAGGGCGGGGAGAACACCGCAGCACTACTTTTCGGCCAGGGGAAAGCAAGCCAGGAGCTACATGGTCACCCAGCGAGAGGAGAGGGGTTGGATCCACCCGGGCAAGGCAGGCTGGACACCCTGGGGCATGGGGACTCACCGTCTGAAGAGTTCAGGGCCAAAGATATCAGGGGGAGCATGTTCCAGGGGTTCTCCAGGGATTCCCCCGAGCTCTCCGACAAGGCTGTTGACTCGGTGGCTGCAACAATCAAGTCGGGGCATTGATATCGGTCAAGAAAGCAGCTGCCCGCTCTCAACCCTGCAGCCGCTACAAAGAACTGTGCATAGTGTCTCAGACAAAGAAAGCACTTGAGGGGAGCCCCGAGAGCCCTCTCCAACCAAAACTAGGGTGTATTCCAGCTAGAGTCCTTTCAGGACCTCAGCCAGCCCCTGTAGCAGGCCGCGGAGAGGCAGGCACTGCCCAGAGAGCAGGCACGTGGGAAGAAGACCTTCCCTTACACCCCGCACCGTCCAGGACAGCAGCTCCCTTCAGCTCCTCCTCTACCTGGAGCTCCTGCAGGCACTTCTGCAGCAAAGCTTGGGTGACACCAAGCCCAGAGAGGTGACACATGCCCGTCTCGGTGCTGAACCACAGCCAGCCAAGAACCCACACTCAGGCAGGAGACTCGGGCTCCGTGATGGCATCAAAGGGACAAAATCACTTGTTACGCTCCCGGCACAACAAACCGAAGCTGCTCAGCTTCAGGAGGCTGCTGAAATGGGACCAATCCCTGCCTGCTCGAGGCAGGGCTGGGAGTCCTGGTCTCCCGAAGACCTGGGCATGCCGGTCCCTCCTCCCCTCAGTCCAAGGAGAAGAGGGGCTGAGCCAACTGCAGAGGAAATTACTAAGAGGCTGGATGGGATCTGGAGATCCCACTACTCACAGCTGGCTTGGGATATGATACTCAGGCTGCCTGGCACTGTCCTGCCATCGTCGCTCTTCCCCGCAGTTGCTTCGCTTGTGTCTGCAATGAAAGGGGCACTGCCGGTCGCATCCCAGCACGCTGCACAGCCGCAGCAAAGGAATTCTTCTCCCCACCCCAGGGAGACCCTTATTTCGCATGCTCAGGCACTGAACTGCCTGCCTGTCTATCCTGCAGATGAAGCCACCGCACTGACCTGCCTTAGAAGCCTCAGAAGCAACTGTCTCCTCCTCAGGAGGGATGACCAGGGTGTGGGCCGGGACCATGAAGACGTCCTCACCCCGCTGAGATGAGACACATTATGTGGTTTTCGCTGGGCAGTCCCACTCGAGGTGCAGGAGCCCACCTGAACACCATATCTCTCCCCAGCAAACCTCCAGCTCTGCCCACCACCCTTCCCCTTCCTTCTCCCACCCCTCCAGAGCACCGTGAGCTGTCACAGCCCGGTCACAGCAGCCAGACCGACCTCTTCCTTGCACTGTGCCTCCCACTGGGTGATGGGAACCTTGTCCTTCACCGTCGCTGACATCTCCTTGGGCATCCGTAAATCCAAGCATTCCTCAGCATTTTCCTTCAAAACCTCCAGCTGGTTCTGTCCTATAGCATCAATCAGCTGAGAGATGGATGGCTCTGGAGCAAGAACACATTAATGTCAGTGGAAAAGACACCACCATTCAGGCGACCCTTGCTTGAAAATGCTGCTACTCCGCTGCGTGACCGTCATGTGCACTGAAACCTGTGGAAACACCCTAAATTCTGCATTTCCTTTACTTCTAAAAACTATCTTTCATTTCTCCACACAGGTCGCGGAGCAGCAGCGTGAGCACAGGCCCACGCTGCTTTATCTGTCAGCACCAACTTGTCCTGCTTTGAGCTTAGCAACATTGCCTTGTGACATCTGGCCAGGTCTGTGCTATCTCTGCCTAACACGGACCAAGCTGAGGAGAGCCAGGAGCCCCATCAGGCAGCCAGAGCAACGCGTGCCCCCCAAAACCCTTTACCTGAGTTGGGAGCGTTCTTCAGAGCGAGACTCTTCCTGCAACGACCAAGAAGACAAAGCCAGGTTAGGCCTGGGGCACAGGCAGCCAGCAGCCTTTTGCAGTTCTCAGTCCCAGATCAAGCAACCCTGGCCTGGGAGACGTGGCTTGTGGAAGTAGTGGATTCCCCACTGGGGGCTGGATCTGGCCACCGACCTCTGCTCAGTGTCCCAGGAATACCCATCGGGGAGCCCCACTCCTGGAGATGGACTGACAGACACCCCTGAGGATCTCCAGAGCTGGGTCTCCAAGCACAGAATGGAGAATGAGCTGTGCAGGGCTCACCCACTCGGCCACGCTGTCCATGGCTGGCAGGAACAAGCTGCCCAGGGGTGTTCCCTTCCAGCTCTGCCAGCTCAGAGGAAGAGTTTGGGGATGGAGAGCCTTCTGCATCACCAGGATCTCATTTTGCATGGTCTACTCGGCTCTGTCACGTCCTACAGATTAACCAGGAGCTGCCATAACCTGTGCTTGCCCTTGCCAGCCTGCTCTCACCCCAGTGAGAGCCTGCATGCTCTTGTCATGGTGTCTGGATATGTTCCCCAGCAGTGGCCAGCCCCGTACTTACAGCCAGAGCTCCTTTATCTTCTTCAGCACAGAGGGCTCATGGTTCCTGCAGCAAGAGAGCAGCCGGTTACAGATTCCCCCCGAATCCCCATCTCCCTTCACAGCTTGCGGTGGAGACAGTTACTCTTTCAAAAGAGCAAAAAGTCCCCACCACAACCAGGTGACACCAGGAGTGCCCAGGGTCAGCGCCGCTCCGGGAAGATGAGGAAACACACCCACACACACACCCACACACACCCCCCCCCCCCCCCCGAGCAGACCCTGCGGGCCGTACCCGTCGGATGACTCTATCCTCTGCCTCTCCATGGGCAGCACGATGAACTGCTGGGCCGTGACGTAAAACTCACAGTCCTCCTGCGGGGAAAACGGAGGCCGTAAGGCACCTCTGCAGCCCCACCTCTGCTCCCACCCACCCTGGGGCCAGCAAGCACCCACGCCCCCACCCCAGCTCTGCCACCAAGCCTTCACTTACCAGTCTGGCCTCCTCCCGGAAACACACCGTGTACTTCTGCAAGACGATAATTCTGCAAATAAGGCTGGAAAGCCTGAGCTGCATGTGGATGCTGGAAAAAGAGCAGAGCAGAAACATCTTCAAGAGATGAAGAATGGAGCTGGACCACCCAGACACATAGTGGGGCTCCCCCCAACAGCCATGCCCACCACACTGGGGCATGCTAGAACATGTCTTGGCACGAGCATCAGCGACCAAGGGCTCCTGGTTTCTGCAGCTTATCCGTGCTGCTTATCCTTGTCTCTGCTACCAGCACCCCACCAGTCTAGGGGTGTCCAAATGGGGAAACTGAGGAAGGCACTGAAGGACCAGCCCAGGATACCACAGGGCTCTTTAGTCCTTTCTAATCACATCTACCTGGCATCCCAGCTTCTGCCATCAACCCCCGCCCATCCTTAGCCAGCCGAAACCAGAGCACCAGCATCCTGGCTTTCTCCTCTTAGCAGCTCTTTCACCACAGGCTTCCCACCCTGTGATTGCTTTAGCTTAACACAACCTGAAACAAGACCAGGCAGGAGCCCCACTAGCAGCTGGGGAGAACCGCTGTCCCAGCCACAGCCGAGTCAGGATGGAACCCACTTTTCCTCCGTCTGCAGAGCTTCGGCCGTAATGACCACGCGGATGTGGTAGGACCCGTCTGTGACCTGCAGGACAGCATCTTGGAGGACCCCAGGTTGGCCTGGAGCCGTTGAATCGCTCAAAACCTATCAAGAGATTGGAGAGAGGGGAAAAAAGAAATCCCACTTACAGACTTCCCTGTGAACAAGGACAGGACACCATGCCTGGCCAAAAGACTGGACTCTTTGGAGAGAAGGTCACCGTTCACCATGAAGCCACGGGTTAATGCTGACCCCAAGGCCAAGGGGTTTGGTATGTGCCCGTGCCTCCTGGCTGGACTGAGCAGGCTCCACACCAAGACACAATAAAGGACACACTACATTGTGTGAGAGGGCAATTGAAGTCAAGGTGGGAGAGGAGCCACAGCCAAGCTTTTTTTTACTTTTTTACTTTTTAGCAGAAGGAATCCAGGCAAAAAGGATCTGGGCAGGCTTGGGACATGTGCTCCTCTGCAAAGCAGAGGGAGACAGAAAGCAGCAGCAACCAGCAGGATTGCTATAGCTGTTCCCTTCTTTTGAATGGAGATCCTGGTGTAGCAACCCTGAGCTCGTACTAAGCCATATCCATGCTGGGTCAAAACAACCCCTGAGGGAAGCAATAAACTGCTCATACAAATCTCATACCTTCCTTCTCTGCGGGCCGGGAGCTGTGGATCAGTCCTGGCCTGCCCCAACCCTTACAGTCCTTACAGTCCTTACAGTCCTCGGCTTCTCCTGGTACTCACCTACAACTTGGTCATATATGTCATGTACATCGTTCACCTGACTGGTGACGTTGGGAGATGATGCATGAAGAGGGGATGTGAAATGGCACGTCCCATCAGGCACGAATGCCACCTCCATTTGGCAAGAGGTGTGCCTGTGTCCTTTAATAGGTGCCCACCGCACTAAAAAGACCAGTCATCATCAGCTGGGACATTCTGACAAGAACCTACTCATTATGGGCAACTCTTAACTCCCAGCAGAGGCAGAGTCACTTAGCACACACTGCAAGAGAGCACCAGCACCAGCAGCAAGCAGGGCTGCTCACTGGACTGAATAAAAAAAAAAAACAAGATAAAGAAAAGGGTAAGGTGTGGAAGTTATAGTTCTAAAACAGATAGAGAAGAAGGTAGGCACAGCTGGAGCCCAGAAGAAGTTGGAGAAAGACTCTGCTGCTCAAGGTATGCTCCCAACCTCCACGCACTGTGGAGGACTCGGGTGGGTGATGCTTGGAGAAGTGGTCACACCGAAGCAACTCTCCTCATTAATCACTCAAACCCTAGGGGGGATCCACTCATTCACTGCTGGGTCTTCATCAGCCCAGGCACAAGAGATCTCCTGCATGGGAGAGGGGAATGGGACAAGAAGTTGGGTACCAGTGATTTCACCACCTTCACATCTTCAGACAGGATAGAGAAGAGGACCACTGGGTCTTCTTTCTCTCGCTGTCATTTTTTTCTCCCCATCTCATCTCTCCTTCGGTTTAAATCAAAATATCCATCTTTCTACTTCCTGCTCCTGTTAGTGAGGAGTCATCTGAGCTGCCTCAAACACCTCCTTCCCCAAAAGACACTAGGAGACTGTTAACAATAACGTTGCCCGTGGTGAGATGCTGCTACAAGTACCCAAAGGCTGCGAGAGAACAGCAAACCAGAGCACTGGAGCTGGGTTTCTCCAGCATCCAAGTCATGACTGCAGCCCATCACAAGGCAGTGTGCTGGGTTTGCGTGTGGTGGGGTTTTGATAGCAGGGAAAGGGACTACAGAGGTGGCCCCTGAGAGAAGCTTCTCGAAAACTCCCCTGGCTCCATGTCTGAGCCAATTAGCGATGGTGGCCACACCTCTGCAGTAATGTATTTAAGAAGGGCAACCCGAGAGGAGTTGGAGTTGTGAGGAGTTGCAAGGAGGACACTTCTGCAAACACCAAGGTCAGTGGAAGAAAGGGAGGAGGAGGAAGCGAAGAGGTTTGCTGGAGCAGTGACTCCCCTGCAGCCCATGGTGAGAGGGCAGGGCCACCCCCCTGCACCCATGGAGGTCCATGGTGGAGCAGATGACACCCACAGCCCGTGGAGGACCCCACACCGGAGCAGGGGCTGTGCCCAAAGCAGGCCAGGACTCTGTGGGAAGCCCCCGCTGTTGTAGTTCAGTGCTGGGAGGACTGCAACATGTGGGGGGACCCATGCTGGAGCAGGGGAAGGGTGTGAGGAGTGCTCCCCCTGAGGAGGAAGGAGCAGTAGAGACAACGGGTGGTGAGCTGACCGTAACCCCCATCCTTTGCCCCTCCGTGCTGCAGTGGGGGAGGAGGGAGAGAAATGGGGAGCAAAGCTGGGCCCAGGAGGAACGGAGGTGGGGAGGAAGGTGTTTTTAAGATGTGGCTATACTTCTGTCTTACTCTGATTGCTAAGTGTTGTTGGTGTTTGAATTAAATTGATGTTTCTTTTTTCTTCCCCTAGGGAGTCTGTCTTTTGCCAGTGGCCATAATGGGTGAGCCACCCTTCCCTGTCCTTACCTCGATTCCCGAGCCTTTTGTTTTATTTTCTCCTTCTCATCCCTGAGGGGGAAGGGGTGAAGGAGCGGCTGCGTGGAGTTCAGTTGCCCTCTGGGCTCAAACCACAACAGGCAGGAACCGCACGCCCTGCCTGCGCGCGTCCCACGTCTGCTTGTGCACCCAGCTGTCTCACACCATCTTCATCCAAACCCTCCAAGTCCACAGCCAACGATCAGCAGCACCGACTCCGCTCAGTTGTTTTTCCTCCTGCTTCTTTCCTGCTGCCCATCAGGCCCCAAACAGGCAAAAGTCCCCTGACTTAAGCTCCCTCCTGCCACGTAGGGTAGATCAAACATCAAAGACATTGCCAGCGCTGTACTAAAAGCTCTCCGAGCACGACTCGGGAGCAGGTTTTGTGCCTCAGAGCCCCATGCCCTGAATCACCACGCAAGAGGCTCTCCCAGAAGAGCCAGCATCCAGGGGAGAACGAGCTCATGGCCTCACCAAGTCCCACCAGACAGGACGAGGCTCCAGACACCTCAGAAGCTCCTGCTTCTGCCTCCTGCTACCCACTCTCAGGACCACCCATCATCTGGCGTGGTACGAGGAAGGACAGGATGTGAAGAGAAGGAGGAGGAGGAAGATAAGGCAGCCTGTGAGTGCGAGTCGAGGAGAAAAGACGACCTTGGAGACAGCAAACTCTTTGGACAAGAGCAGGGCACACCTACCAGAGGTGCAGAGGTCAGACAAAACTGCCAGATGTGGGCAAAGCAAAGCTCCTCCACCTCAAAAATAAAAAAATAAATCAGGGACTTTGAGGAGGGTTGCCCATCCACAGCCACCGAATTGGGAACTGCTGAACACTTCCAGGAATTTGGATTTCAAATGCTGTTGGAGCACTTTAGGTCAGTCCCTCTCGGTACCTACCCGCACGACCTGCCCGGCCAGGAGATTCTCACTGTTATCCAGCTGCTCGTAATTCACCAAGAGGTTGGTAATCCAAGGCTGCAAGATGTAGACTTTAGGAAAAGACATATTCTTGTTCTCATACACAAACCTACGGGAAAAGAGACAAGGCACCAAATCATAAGAACAGGACGCAGCAAAGCTCCATCATCCTGGGATCGGTTTCACACCCCAAACACAGCCACAACCCCGGGTAATAACTCAAATCCAGCCCAAATCCACCCACGTCTCTGCAAGGACACCCATCCTAAGGGAGCCATGCCCAGGACGACGCGCTGCAGGGGGCACGCAGATCCCGCAGCATCCCCCTCGTGCTGTGGAGCAGGAACACTGGTGGGTGCCGGAGCTATGTGCGGGCAGGGGAGGGCCTTTTGCAAGTCTCCCACCTAGTTTGGGACATTTTTTTTCTACCTCTTTTCATATTGTTTATTATCCCCCCATAATTATTTTCCTGTGCCCGGGACTTAACCATCACTCTCTTAATTGTAAAAGGGTGAAGGGGGCCTCTCTTGGCTGGAAAAGGGCTGGGGCAGGCAGGGTTGGGGATGGCAGGGTTTGGGGATGGCAGGGTCGGGGATGGCAGGGGTGGGGATGGCAGGGGTCGGGGATGGCAGGGTTGCAGGGTTGGGGATGGCAGGGTCGGGGATGGCAGGGTCGGGGATGGCAGGGGTGAGGATGGCAGGGGTCGGGGATGGCAGGGTCGGGGATGGCAGGGTCGGGGATGGCAGGGTCGGGGATGGCAGGGTCGGGGATGGCAGGGTTTGGGGATGGCAGGGGTCAGGGATGGCAGGGTCGGGGATGGCAGGGTCGGGGATGGCAGGGTTGGGGATGGCAGGGTTCGGGGATGGCAGGGGTCGGGGATGGCAGGGGTCGGGGATGGCAGGGTCGGGGATGGCAGGGGTCGGGGATGGCAGGGTCGGGGATGGCAGGGGTGGGGATGGCAGGGCTCGGGGATGGCAGGGTTTGGGGATGGCAGGGGTCGGGGATGGCAGGGTCGGGGAGGGCAGGGGTCGGGGAGGGCAGGGGTCGGGGATGGCAGGGTCGGGGATGGCAGGGTCGGGGAGGGCAGGGTTTGGGGATGGCAGGGTTGGGGATGGCAGGGTTTGGGGATGGCAGGGTCGGGGATGGCAGGGGTGGGGATGGCAGGGTCGGGGATGGCAGGGTTTGGGGATGGCAGGGGTCGGGATGGCAGGGTCGGGGATGGCAGGGTCGGGGATGGCAGGGTTGGGGATGGCAGGGTCAGGGATGGCAGGGTCGGGGATGGCAGGGTCGGGGATGGCAGGGTTTGGGGATGGCAGGGTCGGGGATGGCAGGGGTGGGGATGGCAGGGTCGAGGATGGCAGGGTCCGGGATGGCAGGGTCGAGGATGGCAGGGGAGGGGATGGCAGGGGTGGGGATGGCAGGGTCGGGGATGGCAGGGGAGGGGATGGCAGGGGTGGGGATGGCAGGGTCGAGGATGGCAGGGTCGGGGATGGCAGGGTCAGGGATGGCAGGGTCGGGGATGGCAGGGTCGGGGATGGCAGGGTTTGGGGATGGCAGGGTCGGGGATGGCAGGGGTCGGGGATGGCAGGGGTGGGGATGGCAGGGTCGGGGATGGCAGGGTCGGGGATGGCAGGGTCGGGGATGGCAGGGTTTGGGGATGGCAGGGTCGGGGATGGCAGGGGTGGGGATGGCAGGGTCGGGGATGGCAGGGGTCGGGGATGGCAGGGTCGGGGATGGCAGGGGTCGGGGATGGCAGGGTCGGGGATGGCAGGGTTTGGGGATGGCAGGGGTCAGGGATGGCAGGGTCGGGATGGCAGGGTTTGGGGACGGCAGGGGAGCCGTGGCTGCCCCCCTCCCCGCTCACCTGGGGCCCAGCGCCTGCCGCCGCCCCGCCGCGCCCCCCGGCTGCTCCCCCGCGCCCGCCCCGTCGGGACAAGCCGCCGCCGCCGCCGCCGCCGCCGCCGCCGCCGCCATGGCCTCGCGCTGCCGGGCGGGACGGGGCCGCGACCCGGGAACAGGAAACGGAGCCCGGCCGCGGGATCCGGGGCGGGGCGGCGGGGGGGGCACCGGGCCCCGGTTCCGTCCTCATCCCCATCCGCGTCCCAGCCCCATTCCCACCCGCAGCCCCGTCCACAGCCCTGGCGCCATCCCCATCCCAACCCCGTTCCCGTCCTTATCCCCACCCACGGCCCCAGCCCCACCCGCGCCCTTAGCCCCGTCCACGGCCCCATCCCCACCCCATTCCCATCCGCATCCCCATCCCCATCCCTCTCCCCATCTGCAGCCCCGGGCCATGGCCTCCATCCCATCCCAACCCCAGCAGGCTCCCTGCTCTCCTCCAGCGTTTTCCTGGGCACACACCCACTCTTGGCTGACCTGTTACCGCTTCCCACTCAGCGGTTCACACGTGGTGCCAAACCATCACTGAAACACTTTGTTTTCGCATTGTTTCCTTTAGTTTGGGGTCCAATCCCCCTAAGCAGCCCCAGGTTCTCCCCGGCGGGTCACCCCTGGGGAGAACCAGCCTTCCACAACAGCCTCGTGCCCACTTCACCTCCTCTTAAGGCATTAAAGCCACTTACCTGCTCAAATCCAACAAGCAAACGGGGAAAACTCCAGACACACGTTGGAGGGACAGCAAACGTGTCCTCTCGCTCAGGTCAGGGCTGAAATCAGGCCGTGTGAGTCATGGCTCGGTCCAGCCGGTGACTCCTCATCCCCAGGCCAGAGGCTGGAGTGAAATGCCACAAGGTGGATCAGTGCTACGCAGAGGAGTAGACAGCAGGGTTTGTTTTTAAAGAAAACAGCTAATTTATTGGTGTGTTGGGTGTACCTGTGTGTGGCTGGGAGTTTTGGCAGCGGGGAAGGGGGGGCTACAGTGGTGGCCCCTCTGAGAAGCTTCTGGAAGCTCCTCCAATTCCCAGCTGGACCCTCTTCTGCGCCAAGGCCGAGCCAGTTAGCGGTGGTGGCCACACCTCTGCAATAACGTCGTTAAGAAGGGGGAACCTGGGAGGAGGAGTTGGGAGTTGTGAGGAGGAGTTGTGAGGGAGATACTTCTACAAACACCAAGGTCAGTGGAAGAAGGGAGGAGGAGAAGGAGGAGCGAGGGAGGTGCGCCGGAGCAGAGACTCCCCTGGCTGTGCCCTGGGGAGAGACATGGAGGTCCATGGTGGAGCAGATGCCACCCGCAGCCCGTGGAGGCCCCCACGCCGGAGCAGGGGCTGTGCCCAAAGCAGGCCAGGACTCTGTGGGAAGCCCCCGCCATGTAGTTCGGTGCTGGGAGGACTGCAACACGTAGGGGGGACCCACGCTGGAGCAGCTTGGGAAGGGCTGCAGCCCGTGGGAAGGGCTCACGACGGAGAAAGTTCATGGAAGACTGTCTCCTATGAGAAGGATCCCACACTGCAGCAGGTGTGAGGAGTGCTCCCCCTGAGGAGGAAGGAGCAGTAGAGACAACGGGTGGTGAGCTGACCGTAACCCCCATCCTTTGCCCCTCCGTGCTGCAGCGGGGGAGGAGGGAGAGAAATGGGGAGCAAAGCTGGGCCCAGGAGGAACAGAGGTGGGGAGAAAGGTGTTTTTAAGATGTGGTTATACTTCTGTCTTACTCTGATTGCTAAGTGTTGTTGGTGTTTGAATTAAATTGATGTTTCTTTTTTCTTCCCCTAGGGAGTCTGTCTTTTGCCAGTGGCCATAACAGGTGAGCCACCCTTCCCTGTCCTTACCTCGATTCCTGAGCCTTTTGGTTTTTTTCTCCTTCCCATTCCTGAGAGGGAAGGGGTGAGCAAGTGGCTGCGTGGAGCTCAGTTGCCCTCTGGGCTCAAACCATGACAATTGGGATCTTTGCATAAGGTAGCATGCACATGGAGAATCAAATCTCTTGCACAGGATGGCTGGTTACTGTCCAGTGACAAAGGTCCTTGTAGCAGCATCTCCGGCTGGAGCAGGTAAGAGTCCCCAAGCTTACACCCACCCGGTCCTGCATGATCACCTGCCTGATCTTAAACTACCTACAAAACATCTCCTAACTATCTTAAATGTATCTTCCTCTATTACAGCCTGTGCACAGTTTGGGTGATGCTGCAGCTGGAACCACCTGAGGAGGCTGTGGGATGCCCAGATCCTCCCCACAGCATGTTCATCAGCCCATGGAGACATGCAAGTGGTGCTTCTCCGTTGACTTTAGGCACAGCAGGAGCTCCTGGGGGATCTTCAAGCCTATCCCAAAGCTTCTGTATCCACCAGCCAGGTGTTTTCCTTGGATGGCAGCTGGGATTGCAGTCCATCAGTCAGTCCGACGCCTCGCTGCTGCAGGAATGAGCTGGGGAGTACCTGGACCACCCTGGAACTGGATGTCCGTTGTGTGCTCTGTGTGTGCTGGGGTGCAGCCCCGATTCCCAGCCACCCCACAGTTACACCTGGGGGGCAAAACTGAATTTTATCCTTCTATTACACTTACAACTTAAATACTGTAGGTGTTGTTAGAGCAGACCCTGAGGAAGGGGTTGCTCTAGGCAGCTCTGGAGGGTTTCCAAGTGATCCAGGGGGCGTTTCTAGGTTTTTCAGCCTGTTGCAGTGGCCAAGGGACACTTGCCTGTCCTGGCTGCCCCATCGTTGACCTAGACTTTGGTGCTGCACAAATTAAGGCCAATAAACTGCACTGTGTGGGACCAGCAAGTCTACCCTTGCCTGCCTGACCTCAGGCAAGGCGAGGGACAGATCCTGGTGTCCCAAGAGGGAGGGTGGCGGTGGGAGGGGGCATCTCGGTGCAGGAACAGGGGTAGCACCGGCCCTGAAAACCGAGTGGCTCAAGTTTGGTGCAGGAGGGAAGGTATGAAGAGCAGGTCTCCAGACATCCATCTGAGGGCATTCCCTGCTTGGGCAGGACACTTTGCATCATTCCTCAGCTGCCAGGAAAGGTGGATGGTGGTTATGGACCGTGGCCAAGAGACTGGGGTGCAGACACCGAATTTCACAAAGCCATGGGCTGATGCAAGCCCTCATGGGTAAATACATGATAACTGTGTAGGAAAAGCTAACTGCAGAGTCAGGGCGAGATTGGCGGATGGAGCAGCATGGTTTTAGATCCGCCCTGTTCTGGTGACTGGGGCCAACCGGGGAATCGGCCTGGGGCTTGTCTGGCATCTCCTGGGGATGCCAAAGCCACCCAAGTGGGTGTTTGCGACTTGTCGGGACCCCAAGGGACAGCGAGCGCAGGTGAGGCTGGGCTGGGACGCAGTGGGCTGTGCTGGGGGACAGAGGGAGGGGGCAGCAGGGTGGAGCAGGGATGGGGTTTAGCAAAGGGCTCGAGCTGCAGCCGGGCACCCGCGGCACGGGGCAGCTGGGCTGGGACGGCTGTGGGACCGGCTGTGCACGGGCTGTGGGGGGGGACAGTGGCACGGGGGGTGTGCCGGCGGCACGGAGCCCCATCCCACGGGAGCGGGGTGCTGGGCGTGAGGCCGTGCAAGGACGGAGCTGGAGCGACACGGGCTTTGCCTGGGAAAAGCTGAGCCGCTGCCCAGCCCCTCCTGCCCCGCCGTGCCCGCGTGGTCCCCTCTTTTGCAGGAGTTACAGAATTTGGCCTCCAAGCACCCCAACCTGGTCATCATCCCGCTCGGTAGGTGCCCCGAGGTCGGGATCCCTCACCCCGGTTCCTCTGGTGGGTGCCAGGGTGCTGTGCACACCCCGGGGGTCCCGTGCCAGGAGGGAGCCGCGCCGATGCACGGGGTGCCTGCGGGGACACCAGGCACTGCCACCCCTCCTGCCCATGGCCATCCCCGAGGCCACGTCCCTGGGGGGGCCACAGGGGCCACCAAGCCACCACGGGGACCCTGACCTGCCCTGTGTCATCTCTGCAGAAGTCACCGACCCCGCCAGCATCCAGGCGGCTGCAGCCAGAGTCGGGGAGCACCTGGGGGGCTCAGGGCTGAACCTCCTCATCAACAACGCTGGCATGGCCAAGGTGAGCTCGCTTGATACCGAGACGCCGGAGAACATGATCCACGTTTACACCACCAACATGGTTGGGCCCCTGCTGCTGGGCCAGGTGAGACCCGCACCCGAGCTGGGCTGTGCCGGGGGGGCACGAAGGGCTGGTGTGAGGGGGTCCTGCCTCCGCTCTGGCGCCCGACGGGCTCTTGCTCAGCGAGAAGCTCGTGGAGCTGCAGGCTGGAGCTCGGGAGCTGGAGCCCGGCGGGCTGGGGCGGTGGGAAGAGGAGGGAGGATGCTCCGGTGCTGGTGCCGATGCTGCCCGTTGTGGAAGGAGCTGGTCCTCTCCCCCGTGCCATCTCCGTGTGTGCCCCTGTCTCCTCTTCCTCCTCGCAGGCGTTCCTGCCCTTGCTGAAGAAGGCAGCCCAGGGTAGCCTGGGCTCAGCGCTGAGCTGCAGCAAGGCAGCCATCATCAACATGTCCAGCTCTGCAGGCTCCATTGAGGAAATCTATTTATGGAATCACGGACAAGTTGTCTCGTACCGCTGCAGCAAGGTACTGCCACACCGTGCTGCACGTGAGCACAGACACGCTCCTCTCCAGAAGATCTCACGCACCTTCCAACCTCCCCCTCAGTCCCTTCACCTCTCTGTGCTGTGACTGAGCTCCCGTCAGTCACCGCATCCCTCTCCCGTGCCAGGACGGGCCCTCATCTGGGCTGGGCATCCGCACGAGGATAGAGCAGCAGCACCTTGTGCCCCAGGGAGCTGCCTACGCCTGCCCTGCCCTGCCCCAGCCCGCAGCGGGGTCTGGACACGTCCCCTTGCAGCCACCCTTCCCCTCCCACCACCATCCCTGCCCTGTCTCCCCGCAGGCTGCTCTGAACATGCTGACCAAGTGCCAGTCCCTGCGGTACCGGGAGCACGGCATCCTCTGCGCTGCTCTCCACCCCGGCTGGGTGCAAACCAACACGGGGAACTCCGTCGGACACGCGCTAGGTGTTTCTCCTGATTTTCCAGGAGAGGGATTTGGCTGCCCTGACCCCTGACCACAACCTCCCTGCCTGCCCCATCCCTGCCTGGGCAGTTCCCCCTGCCCTGACCCCACGTTCCTGGTGCCCTCCCATCCCCTCGGCTCCCTTTCTGGGGCTGGCAGCTTTCCCCTTGCCCTCAAGCAGCTCCTGCCCCTGCCCCCGGCTGCTCCAGGGCAGCCCTTAGCCAGTCTTTGGGCACAGGCTGCCTCTCCCCCTTTGCCCCGCAGCCCCCCACGACGGTGGACACCAGCGTGCAAGGGATGCTGAAGGTGCTCTCCTCCCTCTCCGAGAAGGACACTGGCACCCTCCTGGACTGGGAAGGGAAGGTTGTGCCCTGGTGAGATGCCAGCCCAGCCTCCTGGCAGCGGGGCCCGGGGCCGCTGCTCCCACCTGCCCCACGTCCTCAATAAACCCCTGTCTGAGAAGCCACCGGCTCTGCTGCGTGCTGCCAACTCGCGGGGGTGGCCCCTTCTCGGTGGCTCTGCCCCGCAACCCGCAGCCTGCAGCCACCTGCCTGACCCACGGCTGTGGCTGGGGTCCCCACGAGTGACAGCCTGCGGGTCCTGTGGCACCACGACCGCCCTCGGGAGATGTCCCCTCCAGGAGGCACTGGAGCTGGGGCACAGCCCCTCTCCTGGGATGAGAGAGATCTTCCGAGCCCCCTCCCAGGGCTGTGCTCAGCCTGGGGTGCCTGAGGGGCTGGGTGTGACAGGGCCTTTTCCCCTCAATTGGTGGATGCCTGGTTGCAGGCAGGACAGACGGACGCAGTGCGTGGGGAGCAGGCACTGGGCTCGGCCAGGGAGTTGGAGGCTGAGGGTGTGGAGACAGAGCAGAGGCGTCAGCTCCCAGTTTTTACAGAGACAGCGGGGTACGGGGGGAGGCTGCAGGGCTGCGCGTGGGGTGGGGAAGGGGAGAGAAGCTGCTTCCCACACCCTTCCCCTCTCCCTGGCAGCCTGGGGTGGGCTGAGGGCGAGTGGGGTGACCATGCCAGAGGGGTGAGCCGGCGAGTGGGAGGCTGCAGTGTGGGCGAGAGGCGCCGTCCGTCCATCTGTCACCAGGGCAAGGTGTTCCCTTCCCAGTCGAGGAAGGCTCCGGAGGTGTCCTGCGAGAGGCTGGCCAGCACGGTCAGGATGCCCCGCACACTCTGCTCCACGGTCAGGGGCGCCTGCAGAAGAAGACAAGGTGCAGCATCACCGCCGTGGGCTGTGACCGGCAACAGAAAGCAGCCGGGCTTGGGCAGACCGGAGGGTGCACGGCCTGGGGAGCAGCACCCACAGTGCTCATGGGGGGGATATTTTTCTATTTTTCCTTACTGCCACCCATCTGCTGTCTGTGCTGGGTGGCGGGGACAGGGCTGGCACTTGGCACGTTGGCAGCTTGCTGCCTGTTCCCTGCCTCCTCCATCCCAGGAGATGGTCCTGGCAGCCCACAGCATCACACAACATCCCCTGCTCCAGGTGCCCCTGCCCTCCCCGAGAGTTGGGGGTACAGCGGGGGTCCTGCTGACCCTCCCCTGCACACCACAGTACCTTTTCAGTCCCCATGTCTGTCTTCACCCAGCCAGGATGGATGGCCGTGCACAAGATCCCCTTGTCTTGGAGCTCCGCAGCCATGCACCTCGTCACCATGTTTTGGGCAGCCTGGAAGAGGCACCGTCATGCCAGCACAACTCAGGGCACAGGCGGGCAGGAGGGGGGACATTGCCCAGCCAGAAAATGGCTGTGGAGGTGGAAAATGAGACTTTGCTCTGGGATAAAGCATCGGCACAACCCACCTGAAAGGCTCAGTCCTGGGTGCTGCTGCTTTCAGTCTCTGCTTATGCTTGGGAGAGCCAGGCGGGGGGTGGGTGGCCTGGGGCAGTTGGGTGCCCCCCACAGGCTCCCCTCCACGAGCACAGCGCACAACAGAGCATCCCCCAGCACCTCCCCTGGCACCTCACCTTGCTGGCCCGGTACGGGTACATGGGGGCCTCCAGCACGCCAAGGCAGAGCCCGATGGAGCCCAGTTTGGTGGAGACGTTGATGACGGCTGTCCTGCTGCAGCTCAGCCCCTCTTTCCCCGCGGCCTTCGCCGCCTTCTCCAGGAGCGGCAGAAACTCCTGGCACAAAGACACCAATACTCTCCTAATATGTGAGAAGCCCCACGCCCGAGGAACACCCCTGGAGGTCTCTATCGCAGACCATGGACGAGCAGCTGGACAGACACCCCCGGGAGAAGGGCAGGGGGTGGGGGGATGCCCCAGGGACAGGCCAGGCTCCAGCTTTTCCCTTCCCCAGGGAAGGAACGAGCTGGCACGGCCAGTCCGGGGTTGGCACAAGCTCCAGCTGGGGAGGAGCGAAGGATGGGAGATGCTGGGGCTGGGCTGAGCTGCCTCCCTGCTTCTCTGGGTGGGCAGAGGAAACCCACGGTCCTGGTCTTGACTCCGTCAGTCTGCCTCATTCAAGAGAGCAAGAACCCACCCGGAGAGAGCAAGAACCCACCCGGCTGAGGGCACCTTTGCCATGAGGAACAGCTCCCCCAAGCAGGAGAAACCCCAAAAGCCCACACGTAGTACCTTAGCAACCTGGAGTGGTCCAACCACGTTGGTGGCAAACACGGAGAGCATCTCCTGCGAATCCAGGGAGCGCAGCGTGGCGTGCGAGCTGACGCCCGCGTTGTTGATAAGCAGGTTCAAGCCCTGGTCCTTCAGGTGAGACCCCACAGCCCGCACGGCCCCTCGGATGCTGGGCAAATTCACCGTGTCTGCCAGGGCAAAAAGCAAAGTGGGGGAGAGTTCCAGGAGGCCCGCTGGAAAGCGTGCTGTGGCTGGAATGGCTCTCTTTAAACTAGCATTATTCAGAAAGAAAGGACCAGGTTTAGCAGGTCAGGGTGTTAAGCACGTTGAAATGAGCAGCAGTTTGTCCTCACCTCTTGGTTTCGCAGCCTTAGCTGAATTAAACCTCAATTCAGCTCCTTTTTGGTCATATGGAGGCTACCGGTAAGAAGAACTCAGCTGTATTTGCTTTCTGTATTCAAGGAATTTACGATTACACAAGGGATGCTCGGTCTTTGCGCACTGAGGCTCCCAGTTTTATTTCCACCAGAAGCCAGCGCAGCTGGATGGGCACATTTTAAGGGTAGACACCATCCTTGGGGAAACAACCTAATGACATTCTTCAGGTCCTTCTGTACTGCACAGCAGCTAGAAGGGCTGTTAACATAGGGGGGGCACATTCATTTTACTGTTGAATTATATGAAGGTATTTTCTGGTTTATATCGGTTCTGACAGATCATTTAGAACTATCTTTGACTTTTTAAACAATTTTTTGTGCTTAAATTGATCTTCCACAGAAGAGCTTCCCACAGCTTTGCAGCTGTTTGTATGAAGAAATCCCTTCTTTTGCTTTTTTTTTTTTTTTCTTTTGTTTAGACTTTTTTTTTTTGCTTCACATTGTTACCGATGAGAATTTGGAGCTGACGGATGAGCTGAGGTGAGTACAAGTAATAAAAGATTTGGGATATCACCTGCAGTATTTGCAGGCGCCGAGTCTGAACTTCCCCATCTCTACAGATGCTCTGGCCAACTTGTGGAGACAACCCCTCTCAAGCAACCAAAACCAACTGATTTTGTGCTAACAGGACCAAGCATTTCCAGTGCCTTTTTTTTCACCTGAATACTGGTATCTTTTTGAAAATCTTCCATGCTTTAATTGCAGGATTTTTTGGCAAAAGCAATAGGAGTGTTATTTTTTAAGTTTGCGTTCAGCTTTTTGGTTTGTTTGTTAGGATGTGCATGCCCTACCAGGTGCTCACCCCACCGAAGTGTCCGTTGTAGATTTAAAAGGGGTCGTCTAAACACCTTCAGGATCTGCAATGGGCTGGTTAGGCCAACATTAACCTTCATATCTTGCCTTTTAATATTCTAAGTACACTCCAAGTCCTTAAGAACTATGAATGTTCATGTGTATGGGCATGTTGAAGTGTGGCTTTGCTCCCCGTGCACATTTCTGCACACATTATTTGCTGGTGCTTATCTAATGAGCCTGCTGGGTAGGGGAGATAGCAGAGCTAGATTTCTTTTTTTGCAACACTTTGGCCCTCAAGCTGTGTTTCTGCTCTCACACTCAGACAAGACTGAGTTAGCAAAGCTTTGCAAGACTGAATATTCCCTTCTTAGAGTATTTTGTACACTGATGAGCAGCAGAATGATCCGTTTTCCTGGCATTTTTAACTATCCTGGTGCCTTTGTGGCGGTAAGCAAGTACTTGAGTGGCCTGGGAGTTGTTACCACCTTGCCTTGTGCAGCACAGACCTTCATAGAGGTGTCATGAAAACATTTGGGGGGGATTTGATGAGATGATCTGCTGTGGGGATGCCATACATGAGGGGATGGAGCCTTGGGATTCGAGAGGACACGCATAGCCAGCTGCAGGACAGATCACAGGGTGCTTTTTAGTGACTTCTCTTTGGATAATGATTGAACGGAGTTCAAGGCTCCATCACTCCACCACGTGTGAAGGATCTTTCAGTTGCTTTGGTGAATGATTAACTGCTCGGTCTGGACTAGCTGAGTCACTGATCCAAGAGGCCAGGTGTGTGGGACCAGCATGTTCCTAGTGCTACGACAGCTAAATTTGCTGAAGGAACAAACTCTTGTCTCCTTGGAAGAAATAAGAGGATAAGGATGAAAAAGAAAGAGAGTGAGAACAAAAGGAAGCGACAGGTCTTACATGTTTTGGAGTTAATTTCTAATTTCCTTTCTGAAAAGTGCATTCCGGTTACTGGTTTGAAGCCAACCTTCCCTTAAGATGGAGAAAAACACCCCAAAGCAGCTTCTCTTTTTTAAAAAATACTTTGTTGCCGTTGGATTTTTCATAGCTCTTTAGCTTATATCGGGACTTTATTGGTAGTCTGGGTTTTGGAGTGTAGGTGTTTTAGTAAAGGTGGTTTATTTAGTAGTCAGCCCCTTGAGATGTCCCTTTTATGTTGGCCATGCTTTGGTGAGCAAAGTAAGCGTGATCTTCCCATCATGTACTGCTAGTTGGGGCTCACAGGTAATTTTAAAGATGCTATTTTTAATCACAGAGAAGGCGTTCTACTTTAATAATCTATTTGATAGTAAGAGAGAAATTTGCTGCCTTTTTTCAGTAAGCCTGACTCCAGGAATGCCTTCTTTGCTAAAAAATGCTAAAAATTACTTGAACTTTTCAGGTGCTTTTAAACAAATAAATAAGTAGGCAGAGACTGATATGGTCTTTGCATTGCCTCGATTCAGTTTTCTTATTATTTGCTCTAAGGAAATACTCAGAAGCATTTAGAAGCTCTGGCTGCTTCCCACCTCACTTATTTCAGCAATGGCAATTCTGGTGCAAACGCTTCCCCAGAATGTTCCTTTTGGGTTTAGATAGTCTTTTTTGACCAACTCTTCTTAAAAAAAAGTGGCTG